GTTCTAGAGTTCTGCTTTGCAGGGTGCAGCAGTGCTCAATTCGCTCCTTATTTAACATCTACAGTACATAAAATTGCTGGGCAAGGTGATCCACTGGCCCAGGATGAAATATTACTATGTTGACTATACTCGGTTATCAAGTAAGGTTGAGAATTTCTACCACCTGGAGGCTGTAAATATTTGGATGGGGAAGAACCAGGTTTGGCTAACTCTTCACTAGGCTAAGAGTCTGTGGGTTTTAAGGCCTCCCGTATCTAGTGGTTTGCCATCTTTAATGCTGGCTGGGAATATGCTCCCCAGGCACACTTGATGCATATTCTGGAGTTCCTTCTGGACTCACAGCTTCTGCTTGAGAACAAATGGCAGCTTTGGCCAAGAGAGCCTTTGTATGAATTTATCCTGTGTACCAGTTCTGTCTTTTCCTAGATTGGGAAGCACTGCTCATGGCCACTCATGCCTTGGTCACCTCTCAATTGGACTGTTGTAATGTGTTCTACATAGGATTGCTTTTGAAGAGCATTCAGAAACATCAACTAGTCCAAAATGCAGTGGCATAGGCAGCGTTCGGTGCACCATGATATACTCATAGAACAGCATTGCTATGTGAGTAAAATCAGCTCAGATAGACTTTCAGACTTCTATTTGTCACTTTCAAATTTACATGGCATGAGGCATGCTCCAAGTCCTTTTGGTTAGCCTTCTCTGTCATGGCCTCCCCAAGAAATATGGATGGTCCCCACCCTACTGATCTTCAAAAAGGTAATGAAGACCTGGCTTTTCCAGATGCACTGGGACCAGGAAATTATTGGACCTCTGGTGTGGTTGTGTGTGATTTATAGCTGTGAGTTTTGGAGCTTTTTTTTTCCTTTCTTCAAATTGATTGAAAATGATATTTTTATCCTTGTTTGCTACCAGGATTCTTCTGGCTACAGAAATGTGTGTAGTTAATACATACAGATGTATACCCCTGCTTATAATGATCTTTTCCAAATCTGTTGCCAACAACAGAGCTTGTTCCTTTTCACGTTTTATATGTGGAAATACACTCCTGACCATTTGCAGCCGAATTTTCTTCTGTAAGAATTTTATTCATAACCACCCATTGTTCTCTTTCGCTTGTCCTCTACTAAAACACTGACCTAATTAAGGATACACCTTCTTTCCCACTTTCGACAGAGAGCTTTTCTTGGTTACACTGTAATTGGACCTCTCATTAAATATGTCAAATTATTGAGCTATTTGAGAAGCAACTCTGGAAGATTAACAGTAAATATTAAGTACTTTGGGTAAAAAAATATCATTTTTCTCTGATTTTTAAGGAATATCATGTCCAGAAGAATTCTGGATTAGTTCATTATAGTTATGGCAGCCTCGTAGAGTGGAAGAAAACTGCAGAACATTATTAAAAATAGCTTTTCTCTTTCCCATCTTATTATGGATTTTTTTTAACAAACCTTTGCAAAATGAGCTGTGAAAGAATATTGTCAGAGAGCTAAATGGATAGAGTGCATAAAACTTTGCTGCCCCTAAAATATATCCCAATCAAAAAAATTAAAATTAGAAGCATTTTGTAGTTTAGTTGCCCATATTCTCCTAATTTCAGGCCAACCTAAGTAAGACGAAACAACTCCTTTCAAGTAAGGAAATTTTGAAATGGCAGTGATTTGGCAGGAACTTGGTTTCAGATGTATTGTTGATGGTCTGACATTATTAATAAAAGCAAACTTTTTTTACTTTAACTTAAACTGGTAACAGACTATTGCTGCTTGGAATAGTCTCTGTGTTAGCTCACTCAAAATAACTTTATATATGTTGATTTTAGTTCCAGACCTCCCGAGCCTCAGAAGCCGGCTGTTAAATCTTACCTAGATAATCCAGGAATTTATGGCATTGATGCAGAAGAGGAAGATTATCGGAGGCAGCTATCTGATCAGTCCAAGCGTGGATACTATGGGCAGCCATCTCGATACAGAGATACAGAATTATAAAATTATTAGCAGTCAAACCATTGTTCTGGGACACACTTGCACATCAAAAGCTCTGATTCTTTTAAACAAGTATATGTATATTTGGGGTTATTGGTGAACTTGACAAGTATCTGCTCACTAGAATGGCACAGTGTCATCTAAGTATTGAAGGGACTGGATCATGGTTGCCTATTTTACAAAAGGACCAAATATATTTATAAAGTTAGTATTAATTTCTGGCATCTATAAATTTTTAACTTGGAATTCTTTTCCTCACTGAAATTGCCTTTTTAATATTCTCTTAACTGTTGGGTGGCCTAATGGAAGCTTGATGAAAACCACAAGGCTTTACTGCAAGAAAAAAAAAGTGCCTTTCAAACAAAAAGTGTCTTCAGTTGTTCCCTTAACATCTGATACTTGTGCAAAGCCATGAAATTTCTACTGCTTTTAACTTTTATATGTTTCATAACTCCCATTTTCCCCTTGGATGTTATTTTTCTACTTTAAATAGAACTGTATACTATTTTCAAAAGCAATGACTGTATATATGAAACCGTTTTCTAGGCTGACTGCCATAAGGCTAGAGAGTGCCAAGATTAAGGAAATTATGTAGAAAATAAATGAGACTTTGGGTTTTAAAACTTTTCATCACTGGTAAAATAAAAAAGATTATATTCTACAGGTAATTATGGTTCCATTTTGTCTTTATACCTTTTTAAAATCATGTCCGGAGGCAAGTAATTTCATTCACTTAGGTTGTGGCATATTGAGCAGTACTTTGCAGGACTATTATTTATTCAAAGATACAGAATAGTGGGGGGAATAATAATTCCACACACAATGGAAATAAAAGAGGCTGAACCGTTGCAGTAGACATTCTTGTGGCACACCAATCCTATCCTTGTTCATGTACCCACTGTTTCCTATAGAGTTTCAGGCCTGAATGTCACTTCCCTAATTCTTGAATGTCATGTTTTTTGAACTATGGAGCCAACTGTGTATTCCATATTAAAGAACTAGCATAATACAATTTAAAACTTCGACTACTAATCCACCATTCTCTTTCAAGTCCTGTAGAATCTTGAATTTAAAGTTTGATCTTTTTATTAAACTACGTGGAGTCCATTACTTGTTTATGCCAATCATTTTATGTCTTTACAATATGTATTGGAACCATTTGAAAAAAGAAAATTAACTCTTGGTAAAATGTTCAATATAAAAACTACAATATTACCTAGCCAAGATTAATTTTTTCCCATAATCTTTCCAACTTTTCTAACTTATAAGTCATTGATTTTAAATAAATCTCTACTATTTTTTGGTGTGTAAATTCCTATGGCTATTTAAGGCTTTTTACAGTAAAGCTAAAACCAAATGTTAAATACCGCAGAGATATTACTTGTCTTGCTCTTCTCTTGGAATACTTTAACAATACATAGTTTTAAGAGCCTAATGGTCAAGAAGAGCACTTAAAAAAAGTAGTGGGACATGTACCATAGGCTGAAATCAGAAGACATCTGAATGGGTTATGGAATAGCAAGTCGTTGAAATGTTTTAAATATTTTAAACCTGCCATAAATGATAGAAAACATAAAGCTTGGTAAATAAGAGCTCCTGTCTTGAGGGAAAAAATGGTTTTGTTTGGCATGGTGGGACCCATATTTTTTGAGAACCTGAGTGGTGGGATCTGAATGAATAAATCTGTTTTTAGAAAATATACAACAAACAAAAGAATATCAGGCAGATCCTCCACCGCTGGAAACCCAAAAGAGATACGTTTAAAATCTTAAGAGACATTTTAAGGTTTCAGAGGGATAACTTAAGAGAGGTGCACGAGAAGATACACAAGCGAGAGACGGAAAAAGCAAGTCCTGAAACATAATACAGCTTAAAACAGGAGAGAAGGCCATACACTTGTTGCAAACAGGTTCATTCGAACTGCAGCTGGGATGACTCATTGTGATTGTTACGGGTTGTTGTTTTTTTTCTCACTATGTAAACGCAACGTTGACAAAAGTTGCATTTGCCAAGAGGAGGGGCGGTGGGCGAAAGCGAGTCCGGTTTGATAAAGATTAATTTTAAGATTCATTTTGGCAGGAAAGCCCATTCGATAGAAAAAAACTATAAATGGGAGGGAGGGAGGACGAAGAAATGGGGCGGCCTACCTTTCAACGAGGTAGGGAGCAGTACGTAAGGCGAATTGGGGGCTGCCTGGCTTTCAATTAAGCAGGGGGCGGTAAGGCGCTCCGCCGGATTATACAGCGGGGATCGCTCTGACAACCGCTGGCCTCGCCTGGCTAAAGAAGCCGGGCGGGCCCCCGGGACCTCCGCTGCAACACCAGAGGAGTTCTTTATCAAGGGCGGAAGTGAACGATCCGGAGTTTTGACTTTTCAGTGGAGCCCGGGAGAAGTTTGTGGGTCGCGCGTCTCAGTGGGTGGGGGGAGCCCGGCGGGAGCCTTGCGCGGCAGCAGTTAGCCAGCCAGGACGACTTCAAAAGTTTGGCAGCGAGTTGGGCGTAGTTGCGGGAGGAGGGGGTTGAGAGGCCGTTAATTTGCCAGAGGAGCGGATTTAGAGCGGCGGCGGCAGGCCTGGGGGTGGTGGTGGTGGAGGAGAGGGGAGCAGCCGTCTCCCCCCCAGGGCATAGGCTGCCAGTCAGTCCTAAGGCTTCGGCGGCTCGGAGCCTCTGGGCGGAAAGGGAGGGTCGGGCGGAGAGGGAGCTGCTTTCCTCCCCGCGCACGAGCCAGACCCGCGGGGTCCAGCCAGCGGGAGGTCGGAAGGGTCCCGCGCGAGGCAGGGTGGACCGCCACCTACAACCGCCAGCAGAGGCCTAGGGAGCGCGAGCCGAAAGGCGGGCGCCCCGCGGTCGCCTGCCTTCCGCGCGCGTGAGCGAAGCAGGGAGGGAACGGCCGGCGGGCTCCCCTTGTGGACGGGACCGGGGCTTGGCCAGCCGCCTCAGCCGGAGGAGGCCACCCGGGGGCTTCCTCCCCGCGCGGGGGAGCGCACGGAGTTGGCCGACTCCCCTCCTCCTCCCCATGTCTCTGCCTGTGGTGCTGCCGGGCTCCTGCTGTCCCATGGCGCGGCTCTCGGCGGTCTCTGAGGTGGGCAGACCTTGCTCAGCGGGAGCTGCTGCTGCTGTTGCTGCTGCCGCCGCCGTCGCCCCGAACCCTCCTCAGCCGCCGCCTCGCCGGCTCCGCTGGTCCAGCTCCGGCTTCCGGCAGCCCCGGCCTCGGCCAGCCTCCCTGTCCCCCGTGGCTTCCCGTCGAAGCGGGGCCTCGTCCGCTGCCGGCCCGGGCCCGCTGCCGGCCAGACCGCTGCTGTCCCTGGGGCTGCTGCAGTTGATTTTGGGATGCAGCATGGTGGCCCTAAGCTTCGGGGCGCTCTCCCTCACCAACTCTCCGCAGGTGAAGAACTCCTGTCCCTTCTGGGCCGGCTCCTCGGTAAGTGGCCCCTGGCCCGGGCCCTTTTCTCGCCTCTGCGGTTGTGTTTTCTAGCGTAGCAGCTGCCGTATCTTGGGCCACCTACCTGCTGGCTCTTCTTAGTTTCCGTCCTCCTCCTTTTAAAAAAAAAAACCAGACGTTAGGCTTGGCAGCGTCCCCTGTGAATTGACGCTCACAACAACCCTGCAAGGTTGGACGGTACAAAATGGGCGTCCCACTTTTCCCGGGGCCAGTCGCGAACAGGAATCGTCATTTTAAACGGATTGGCTAAAACTTGGATCGGGGGGATGGGAAGCTGGAACGGCGTTGCTAACCGTTGAGGTTAGGACTGCCATATATGGGCTACACAAATTTGGAATCCCTTTGCTGGCATCCGACGTGTGTTGTGTTTCGGATTTTGATAGCCCAAATCCTGTTGCCCCAATTAAGGTTGATTTCAACCTGTGGCGTTTATTTGATGGCATTATATTTAGGCAGCTCCCAGTAGTTTACTTAGTATATTAATGAAATAGCTTTAAAATGAAAAAAAAATGTAGGAATTGTAATGTTTCCTTTCTTTACTTCTGAATGTTTTATATTAATAATGCAAATAAAAGACGTTTAGTAATCTCGGGCTCTGTTCCGGTGCTGTCCCTGCACTTTGAAAAGTGTGGTTGATGTGAAAGAATAGAGCCAACTATAATAGTGAACAAGGTTCCAGATAATAATGCTCTTTTATTATTCATCATACCTTGTGAAATTGCTGTTAAGGATTAATTGCTTAATATAGATGTGTTGTAACTATTTTCATACTTTAAGTCTCCCCTATAATGTGGTGAGGTATTGTCTTATTTAATAAAAGGCTTCCTGCTTATATGTCTTTGCAAAGTCAGCTAAATGCATTCATAAAAGCAAGTGTTACTTGCTATGGATTTTGCTTTCGTTCATGGATTGATCTTTTGCCTCATTCTGCATCTAAATCTCTCTCATTCTCTGAAGGGTTACAGACTTTCTGAATAGCAGATATTGTCCCGACCACTGAGAGAGGAAGCAAAACCTGTTAAATGACATTTAGAAAAATATGTGCAGAAGTAACTATATCTCCTAAATTTTCAAAATTATGTGCCTACATTAATATACCGGTAATACATTTGTAGCTTTATGAGATTCCTAGGTAGATGTCCCTTTTACCTGATATAATTGGTAATATATTCTTTTTGTGAAAAGACATCCAATCATAAATGTCTTGCAGACTACATAAATATTGGAGAAATCAAGTTCTCCTGATTTTAATTTAAAGTTGAGTGTATCTCAAATAATTTGGAGTTAGTAAATTATTTAATATTTGTGGGCAATAAAATCGTTGTGTCTTGAAAGTACACAATGATTAGGCAGTATTGATATGATTATAGGCCAGAATACTTCTTTCTAAATATATAATGAACAATATTGCAAAGCATAATTTCAAATTCCAGTTTAGTGTATATTAACAAGCAACAACTTTATATATTTTTATTGTGTTGCAGTAAATATAGGAATCTATTTCTGTAGACATAAGTGGAAAGAGGAGAGTAATCAGAATCTTGTAATTTGCTTTCTAGATTCTTTATTTTTTCTCACCTTTCTTACTTTGCATATATTTTTGACCATTTTGCTGCATCTGTACTAGCAAGTCAAACCCTGTGTAAATGCTGTTCTGTCTCTTTTGTGATGCTAACTGCCAACTGAGATCTGTCATCCTTAATAGATTAATCACAGTTGTTCACATCCTTTTTAAACTATCTTGATAGCTGCTTGTGAATTGCCCACATGATGCAGTCTTTGTATGTGTGGAAAATGACATTTTTTAATTTTAAACGCCTTTTCTTGACTAATTACCAAGGGAAATAATTGCATCATATTTATATTAGCATCTGTCTATTTAAATACTTACATTTGAAAGTAATGTAAAAATTAAACTTTTTAATATTTTCCATAACTTGCATTACTTTGTTCACGACAGCTTAAAGATAAATGTAGGCAATTCCAGATATAGACCCATTAATTTTCTAGTTTAAAAAAGGTGCAAAAGAATATGCAAATAACCCAATCAAATTTTAAATCTAGCTTAAAATTTTAAGAAAAATAATAGACCAGCAGGTAGAAAGCATGTAATGTCATACAAGTCAACTTGCAAACTTTTGTTTAATGACTGTTCAAAGTTATAGTGGCACTGAAAAAACTGACTTATGACCGTTTTTCACATTTACGACCATTGCAGCATTCCCATGATGAATAAGTATCAAAAATTAGACACTTGGCAACTGGCATGTATTTATAATGGCTGCAGTGTCCCAGGGTCATGTGATCACCTTTTGTAACTTTCTGACAAGCAAAGTCAATGGGGAAGCCAGATTCACTTAACTCTGTTGCTAATTTAACAACTGCAGTGATTCACTTTACAACTATGGTAAGAAAGGTAAAATGGGAAAAGTGTCTTAACAACTGTCCTGCTTAGCAGTGGAAATTTTGGACTCAGTTGTGGTCATAAATTGAGAACTACCTTCATAACAGGTAGAGAGATGTAGGATCACATAGTTGGCTTAGCATTGTTTTAAAATGATTCAGAGGAGGAGACTTTGTAGAAGCACAGTGTGATTTTCTTCCAGGTTTCCTGGTGAATCTGAAAAAAGATGCTGCTGCTTTAAGGGTTGCATTAAAAACACTGATCTGCTGAACCACTGATATTTTTTTTCTTGTCCTCAGTCTTGCCTCTGGGTAGAAGCTGTTGGTTGACCCTGTAGGTTGAGGCTGTGAGATGTCAGCAGGGAATAGGGCAGTAGTGAAAAAGGATTTCTAATTGCTAATACTGGGAGAGAAAGAAATATCAGTACTGGCCAAGTGAAAAGATACAGGAACCAACCCAAATTAGCTGGTGCTGTTCTTTCTAATTTCCCTTCTAGGCCAACTTAGTATTTCTCTCCATCTCATCCCAGGTAGTGAAAGACTTTCATTCAGCATCTATTCTTGGGGAAAAGCTGTTCATATCATAGATTCCTTGCAGTAACTCCAGCATCTCCCAGGATATGTAGTCCATAGGTCCAAAACTATTGGAAGACCTTTGATTTGTACCAGAAAACCCTTTACAGGAAGTCCTTGACTTATGACTGGCTGATTAGCGACCAAAGTTACACAGACCTATCACAGCACAAAATCTTGGACTCAAAGTTATGATGGTTATCCCTTCTCCTGTGGAAAGCAAAGAAGGGATCTGCAATAAATCTTCATGCCATGATTGAAAGGTCCCTTGGCTATGTGTTTCTCACAGATAAACATTTGACATCTAGACAAATAGATATGAGTATTAATTTCCTATTAAAGCTAACTGCAAGCTAAGGGTTTTTTTTCCAATCCTCATTTCAAGTTCCTTTTTTCCTCTTTAGTAATATTCCAAAGGGGAAAGTAATAGGTTTAACATTGCATCTTATACAGTGTTACCTTAGTACAGTTATCTTTTTAAAACACGTGGATTTAGTTATTTCTTACCAGTCTCATTCCAGTGGCTTTTAAGCACTTTATATGAGGAAAAGAGTTACTTTCAAAAGCCCTAATAACCTTCCAAAGGTTATTTTATTATTTAATTAAGACCTCTTGTACTATTTTAAAACTTGGATACCACAGTTGAATAGATATTTTTCCAATATATTAAAATTTTTAAGCCTGTGTTTCATTTTAAATCTACATTAAGAGAAGTATTTAACACTTGCTGGAAGAATGAAATTTTGCTGAATTATCTTTATCATGTAAAGTCATGAGTAATATTCACTCAATCCTTCTTTGTTTTATTGTTGCAGGTCATTTTATCAGGGATTATAGGATTAACAATATGGAAGAGACCTATGATAATTTTGGTATGTGTTGGTTAATATGATGAGTCTGATTTAACTGTTATAAGCAGAGAATAACACACTTTTTAATGGAATAGCATGACTGTTAAAAAGAAATCTTGCTTTCCTCATGTAAATAGATGTCTCTTAAGGCAACATTTTCTCATTCTTAATGAAATTATATTTCAGTTACACGTTCTGTGTAACTGATAATAATTATATTTTCACACATACATACTTTACTCCAGATTTGAAGAACTGATTCTGAGACAGTTCTCAATAAATTTAAATTTCTCAATAAAAGTCTCAATAAATTTAAATTTCTAAGTTAGTATATCTTGTATTTAAGCTTTGAAGACAACAGCTGCTTTTTAAACTTTCTTTTTGCTACAGTAAAACAGTTAATTCATTATTAAGTCCCACATAAGTATGAAGAGTTTCTTAATGTAATTGTTATTTGGATTCTATAAGGTAGTGATGATGATTTATTAAATTTGTATACTGCCCTTCTCTCAACAACTCTTCAAGCAATGAAATGACATACCTATTTTCCCCCAGGGTCAGAGGGAAAGAGTGCAAGAATCTTCTTTCCTTTTATTTTTAAGATAAAATAGTAAATAAAGCAGAAACTAGATAGAATGAGAAGAGAATAATTTCTTATATTCAAGCTATGGGATCCATACTTAGCTATAATGTTAAAATGGAATTTAGGGCTGCAGGCATACGTTTAGGCTGTAGAAGATACTATGATGTTTTTAGAATATATTTAGTTCTCTCGAAAAGGCACTTGGGATAAAGAAATTATGTTTGTTATCCCACTTTTTGGCATACAAAACCTAGCTAATACTTGAAATATTTATCAGAAGAAGGATCAGGTTGTAAAGCAGTAAAATCTAGTTCGTGTAGTGCCATAAAGTGAATATATATCAGTAGGAATATCTGAACTTGAAGAGTATCATACAATTTTAAAAACAACAACAAATAATAAATTATTCAAATCCTGTCTGAGATACTAATTTGCCTTAATGAGGTAGACAATAAGCATAATTCACAATAATTCACAATAATTATGAATAAATAACTAATTTTGCTATTGATATATTATTATTGCTAAATATAAAAAAGCTTTCTCCATTGGAAACCTGTCAGGTTCTACTGCTGTAATGTTCAGTTTTATAATTTCCCTAACCATAACCATAGTTAAAAAGGTTTCTTAAGTATTTCAGCCCTCAAAGAAATATTGCATTACTATAATATTAATAACTGGTATACTTCCTTCTTATTCTTTTACTATAATACAATACTTTCTTGTGTATGATATATATTTATGTAAATATATACTTTGCTTTGAAAATATTTTTAACCATAATATGTATAAAGGTTTTTTAAAAATACAGCATGAATAAATATAGGCAATAAATAAAGGATTTGAAAATTCAAAATATACAATGATAAATTATCTCTACCATTTTTTAAAATGGTCTCAAAGGAGTCTTGGGAGTAATACAAGTATAGGACTTAACATCTTACATCCTGTTCATCCACTACTTCTTATTTTTAATCTGAGTTTTCTTTGTTTGCAGTTCTTAAACAGTTATTTTCACATTCTCTGTATTAAAAGGAAGTGGTCTGTATCATTTCAAAGTTGGAATAACACCTCACTTCAAAAATAATTTAGAACACCTATGATTGGATTCCATGGCAAGAAAAAAGATCCATAGATAAATTTAATTCTCTTTCCCAGTTATCTCAGCAGATTGCTGGCCTTGTCTGAATTTGGAAGCTAAACAATATTGTCGTATTTATTGGCTAATACTTGGAATTGAGATTAGGGCCCTTCATAAGTTGTTATAAATGTATTGCAAATGGAATTTATGTTTATTTTCTCTTGTACATTTGAGCCCAATATAGCCTATTACCCAGCTAATTGTGGGAAATAAACCTATGCATATTCAGATCCATGTGCATTGGCTGTATGTGTGAAAATTTTCCTCATGATAGGATATATATTGAATATTAAAGAAGATAACATGCCTGAATATTGTCATTCACTGTGCAATTTTTATTTCTTCTAGGTTAACTTGTTTGTTTTACTTTCTGTTATTTGTGTTCTCTTGAATCTGGCGGGCTTTATCCTTGGATGCCAAGGTGCTCAATTTGTGTCCAGTGTCCCTAGGTGTGATATGGTGAGGAGATATTTATGTTTAAAGTATATATTCAGAGTATAACAAATAACAATAATTGTAATGTCCCATACTTAATTAACTATTACTATTCTGCATTAGAACACAGTGTGGCATAACGAAATAATATCTGTAACCCTAATATCAAATGTATGAATCTGTGATTTTATTCAAATCAAATACTACATTCTTATACAGGTTTTTGAGAATCTAAAGTTTAAATAGAAATCTATGAAAGTTCTTTAATCTACATTAATGAACAGATAATAGATAAAGCAATAATACATTTTATTGTTCCACATAGCAATTCCTTAATAACATTGTATGTGTCTTATCACATTAAATTGTATTTTGCATTATGGATTGTTAATCTTTTGGTTTCATTTTGATAACATTTTGGTGTTGCTCTATATCAGGCATGTCAAACTGCTGGCCCGCGGGCCGGATGCGTGACGCTGAAACTGTGCCCATCCCATTGCCGGCAATGGGGAAAAAGTCGTGATACGTCACATGACATCACATGACGTCGCAAGTTTGACATGCCTGCTCTATATAAAACATTGCTTTCAAATTACTAATTCAAATGCTTACTTTTCTCAATATTAAAGGTAGATGTTGCTGAAAATAAAATTTGTTTCTGCTGTGAAGAATTTATGCCAGCAAAATGCACCGAGAAAGAAAATGCATTGCAGTTGTATGCAATCCAGTCATGCAGTTCAGTTCACCTTCTACTCAAAGTAAGGTTACTAATACTGACAGTAGTGGTTGTAAATAAACTGCTATAAATAGAAACATGATTAAGAATAATATTGATTTCTTTCCAATGCAGATCTTCCAAACTTTTTATTGCCTTTTTATTTAGGACCTGTAGGAGGAAGATACTAAGGAAAAAAAGACAACATATAACCTTATTTGACCATGTTTTGTCATGTCAGGGACTATATGTAGGGCTTGTTGACTTTATCAGAGTGCACATTCTGCATGAAGAAGGGAAAGTTAGAGGTTATAAATAAAGTAAGAGTGTTCTTTATAGAAATCATATGTTTTTTAAAAAAAAACATTAATTTTTTGCTCTGGAATTAATATCTGCTCCTCCATCTTTTCACACTTTATAAAATGTGACTGTATGTAAACTCAATCATATACCTGCATCTGGAAATATGACAGTGTATGGTAAAGTTGGAATGCATAACTTTTGTCTCCTGGAACTGATGTTCATGTTATAATGATGTTTGTGTTTTCACTTGAGTGCAATATTTATTTTCCTCCAATAGCCATTAGAAATGTGGATCTGGATTACAACTTTGGTGTGGATGATAGGGAGTCACTATTGTAACCTGCCCGACATACGGCTATCCAGCCTTTCTTTCAATATCTTCAACAAGAGCTTACCACTTCCCAAGGCAATCTGTTCCATTGTTGAACGGTTCTTACCTTTTAAGATTTTTTTCCTGATGTTCATCCATTTTTCATTTTCTTGTAATTTAAACCTGTTCTTTCTTAGGCTGATTTCTGCAACATTTCCAAATAGTTCTGCCCCATCTTCTACATGCCAACCATTGGACTACTTGAGAGCAACTGTCATATCTCCCCACAGTCTTCTCTTCTCCAAGATGATCATGCCCAGTATCTCTAGACATTCCTTGTAATAATAATAATAATAATAACAATAACAATAATAATAATAATAATAATAATAATGATAAAGTTGGAAGGGACCTTGGAGGTCATCTAGTCCAACCCCCTGCTCAGGCAGGAAACCCTATACCATTTTGGACAAATGGCTGTCCAGTTTCTTCTTAAAAACTTCTGTAAGTTTACCTTCCAGATCCCTTGTCATCTAGTTTACTCTTCTTTGGGTGTATATCACAGTTTCTTAGTGCTGTTCCTAAAATGCATTGCCTACAACTGTACACAATGTCCTATGTATAGACTGATTAATGCAGAATAGAGAGAAATAGTGACTTATTTTGATCTTGATACTACACTTTTTTTGAGGATTGCATTTATTGTTTCTACTGTTAACTAGAAGAAAGACCACCAAGACATCTGGATCTTTTTTGCGCTGTATATCCAGATTCATGCTTTGATGTTTTTTTCTGTCTAAATATAAGATGTTGCATTTGTCGCTGCGGAAATACTAGCCTCTGCCCACTTTTCCAGTCTCTCAGGATTATTAGAGATCCTGATGATGTCCTTTTTCTGTCTTATGAAAATTTGATAATCATGCTTTCTAACCATCCATTGAAATACATTATAAATACATTGAATGACACAGTGCCTAGAATAGGTCTCTCAGCTCTTCCCTCCAGCTTGTCATGGAGCCATTGGTGGTATACTTACACATTAGAATTTCATGCAATTTTTTTCCCCTTTAGTTGAGGTACATAATTTCCATTGCATTCATTTAACCAACTAAACTGGCCACTCTGTTAAATGTAATAGATTTGTAGAAGATTGGATTACATGATGAGCACTTGTACTTTAAGTATATAATTTTTGAGAAATCCCCAACCTTCCTCTGCTTCCTTTGATTAAATATTTCTGTCCATAGGATGACAAATAATATTTCTCTATTGAAATGTGTTCTCTTTAATCTTATGTGCATGGCCAGCGATGCCTCAATTTTTCTTGAGCCCCAGGAGCCGTACCAGTGAAAGTTTCATGAGAGACGAAACTGCAAAAAGATTGGTCTGAAAAACAATCCCAGTTTATCTCTTTTGACTAGACCAGATACTTCTGTAATAAGTCTAGAAGAAAGACTGAACCACTAACTGTCAAGGGACAAAAGGGTGGTGGGGGTCGGTTTTTTGGGGTTATTATAGAACTAAAGGGAAAAGAACCATTTTTATCCACATGATCTTCATTGCACGTCTGCTCAGATTTCTGACTCTCAATATATGTGTGCACTTCCTTCACATACAGGGCAGTTCCCTCACTTTTATTTGACCATTGGTATCTGCAGGAAGTACATAACATCACAATGCATAGTCAATTATTTTTTTTATCATCTTGGTTTGTAACAGATACCTTTGGATCTGGCTTGTTGCTTTAAAATATGTGACGTTCTTCAGTCTTTGTGTTCCATTCAGGCTTGTCCTATTCACTGTCCATAATGCTTATTAAATTATATTCTCCTATTAAGATTTCTAGTTCTTCCTGTTACTCCCCATACTCAGTATATTTGTATAGTGAATCAGGATCCCTTATGTCAACGGTTCTCAACCTATGGATTGCGACCCCATTTGGGGTCGATCGACCATTTCACGCGGGTCGCCAAGCAAGGCTGTCCGCCATTTTTTTTCCCTTTTCCGGCGGGTGCCTTACCTCCCTTGAGCTGGGCCAGCTGGTGATCGGCCTGCTCCGTCTCTGCCGCTTGCCAGCTACGTCTCGGCTGGCGCAGGGGGCGGAACCACGCATGCGTGGCACTCCCAGGCAGGGAAAGTCCTCGACTTACGACCGGTTGGGTAGTCCTCGACTTACGACCGGTTTAGTCCTCGACTTACAACCGGTTTAGTCCTCGACTTACGACCAGTTGGGGGGTCGCGGCATTAAAAAGGTTGAGAACCACTGCCTTATGTCATGGGCCTTGACCTAGCCATAAGCTTAATTCCACACAATAGATGGTGTAGAGTTCCAATTCTACATCCACCCTACAGTGATGGGCCAAGATTTAAAATTCCTTTACCTTAGTGCTAAATCTCCATCTAGATGGGCTTCCAGCCTGGCTATCTGTGTGAAAAGAAACATCTTGCATTCCGGGCCAAACAGTGTGAAAAATATAACTTGTAGCATGGCTCTAAAAAAAGGGTTAACTTATTGCGTTGGTTCTCTCAGAAGCAGACAGAAGTTATTTGATAAGATTTACAAAACAACTTATTATCTGAAGATCCACCAGAGATATTAAAACATGTTCGCAAATCTGTAGAAGTGATCATAATCTCTAATAAGCATTAAAAACCTATATTTAATAATAAATAATATATTTGCTAATATTTCTAATCTCTTTGTGGATTAAGTTATTGGTAAATTGAATTTTTAAAAAATGTATAGAGGAAAGGTATCAGAGAAGACAATTGTAGGAAGAGAGCCATGTTAGCTTACGGTGGCAGAAAATCAGGAGTCTGGTAGCACTAGCAAGTGTTATTAAAAGACATGAGCTTTCTTGAGCTGCAGCTTACTTCATCAGATAAATAGAGTGGCTAGACTTAAATTTAGATTTAAACTGGGGGGAGAAGAAGAGAGGAAATATGCTGGTTATGCAAATGTGGGTTACATGAATAGAATCCTAGGGTGTATGAGCAAATTACAAGGTTGCTAGTATGATATACAGTGACTTTCTATGGCACGATTGTTAGATTTGCATATAGCATAGTTTTTAGGTGGAAAAAAGGCATCTGCTTAAAAGTTAACTGAACTTTGTTCTTGGAAATCAAAAGAATTAAATGTGCATACTTTTAAATATATGTGGTGAATCACAATTGCAGCAATTCTTTTCAATTTTTTGTGCTTCAGAAAGTTCTCTTTGCTCTCTGTGCTCTGAATGCCTTGACAACCACTGTTTGTTTGGTAGCTGCTGCCCTGCGTTACCTGCAGATATTTGCAACAAGAAGATCCTGCAGAGTAAGTGAGTGCAGGACACAATTTCATTTTTAAAAAATAGATATAGAAAGAAGTTGCTCTTCTGTTCCTGCTATAAGTGTGTTTTACAGAATTGTATCTTGTTAGGAAGAACAGCAAGTTTATACAGAGGAAGTCGAAGAAGATGGTCCTGCTTCTGATCCTGAGGATTTTGTGCCACCAGCCCCACCTCCGTCATATTTTGATACATTCTATTCTTCCACACCACGAGGCAATCGCAGGTGAAATAACTTGGAGAACTATAAGACTCTGAACGGTTGACCAAATTGGTTTGGAGTTAAATGCTGGTATTGCCTCGAATGGGAAATTCTAGTGTTCATTACTGTCAACAATTCACTCTAATGAAGTAAATTGTTAACAAGTGGGAACGACCAATTTACCTCGTACCCCACAAGACGAATCCAGTAATTCACCTCGTGTCAATAGAGTCCACGAGGAGACCCTGAGATGTCCTGGGCCTCCCAAGACCTCCCACAACCCCTGAGACACCCAGTATTCTGCATCCCACCCCTCAGGATCCCCACAGCCCTTGGTGTTGCTTTCGTCCACACATACACCGGGTCCTCACAGGCCTCCCCTCCACACAGGGTTCTCCCAGGCATTGGGCCTGCTTTCCCCCCTACTGGGTGCTACACCCTCCTCTGCATTTACCATTTGAAGATCTCAGGAGGTTAGAATAGGGAAGGAATCAGGCTGTTCTGTTGCTGGGCCACATGACATGATCCCAGAAGCGGCTGCCATTTTCCAAACAGCTGCATTGTGGGATCACACCACACAGCCCAGCAATGAAGAGGCTTGCTTTGCTTCTCTGACATGAGCTCCGCAGTGCCGCAGTGCCAGAATACTATGGAATACTGCAGAATTCACGTTAGCGAAGAAAAACAAGGCACTCTGTTGCCAGGCTCCATAGTGCATCCACCCCAGGAAATGGCTGCCATTCTCCAAGCAGTCACAATACACATTCACCTCCGTTAGATACCTTCCAGACCTAGTTTTGTCAGTATGGCTTTGAACTTCACTACTTTTCATTTCTGTTTTCAGCTACTGTTCAGATTTCACTTGAATTAATTGCATATCTTTAGTAGAGATTTGATTTTGATTTTTGATTATATATTACCAAATTGTTATCAACTCGTAGGGACTCCAGAAATAGCAGAAATAGGTTTTCTCCAATCTATCCCTTTCCTGATTTTTCAGATCTTCCAAAAATGCATTCATCACCACTGAGTCTGCAATGCATTCATATATCTCAGTCTGTCTCGCTGCTGGTTGTCATCTTCTTTTCTCTCCTTCCAGCTTTCCCAGCATTAGAGCCTTTCCTGGGGGAACTGGGTCTTTGCATAGTGTGTCCAAAGTAGGATAATTTGAACCTGGTTGTTTGTGCCTTGAGTGAGAACTCTGGGTTCATTTGTTCAATGGTCTGTTGTTTTCTTAGCTCTCCTCAGTTCTCTCAGGAGTCTCTCCAACACCAGAGTTCCAAAGCAACAATAGTTAGCCTGCTTCTTCAAAATCCGAGTTTTGTTTTTGTAGAATATCACAGGGAATACCTGGCTTGCAAGATCCTGCTTGTTGTGGTTATAGATATATCACAACATTTAAATATCTTTTCCAAAGCTTCATGTCTGCTGTACCAAGTACTGTTGATGGTTGATCCTAAAAGGCAGAAGCTCTCCATCACTTCATTATTTTTGTTGTCAATTCTAAGGCTAGTTGTTGGATCAGTTGTTATTAGTTTAGTCATATTCATATTTATATGTCATTTTATTCCCAATTTTTCACTGTGCTCCTTGTCATTTATTGCTAATGTTATTAATACTAATAAAGGAGAATATTTGTAGCTCAGGGTTGACATGAGGGGACCTTGGTGCTCTTTGAGCTTGCTTGTTTTCTTGCAGATGTTTCATTACCCAAATTAGGTAACATCTTCAGTGTCTAGCAATAAAACAATGCCATCTGATAGACCCAGAAAACATGCCTTCTCTGTCACAATTCCTCCCTTTTTGAACAGCGGTCTCCTTGTGATTTCCATAGCCCCACCTTGACCTTAAAATCTGATTTTTCTCCCAAGATTTGGAATAATCTGGATGCTTTGGGGGGAGGGGGTTATGCTAAGTTTTCTGTGTCACTTTTATCTTCTGTTAATTGCTGGTTTTTTATCTGTTTTTAATATTGTATTCCGCCAAGGGTTATTTTGAATTGAGCAGCTAACTAAATTAATGTTATAAAAGTGGGTAAGACAGAAATTTTTCATTTTTCCCTTTTCATATTTTTAGCAATTGAGGAGCTAAAGCATAAATTGTGAAGGTAGCAATAAAATATATTGGACCCTGAAGTTGTGAGTTGCCTAATCCTATCTTAAATCTTTGTGATTACAGGCAGAATAAATTTTCCTTAAGAACAATATTAAGAACAATAAGAACAATATTAGAGAGTTGGTTCTTGTCAAACACTGAAGTAAGCAATCTGTATACAACATTTTTATTTTTTGGAACCCCATGATATCACAGAGGTTAAACCAATAACAGTCCTAGGCCTTGTGGCATATGTGATTTGCCTTATAAATCCAAGGCCATGTAACTTGCTTAGCACAGATAGCACAAGTCCATTATATATCAGAGGAGTCAGTAGCAGAAAGATGTAAATCATGAGGAATATAGAGGAGAGTTGAGCAAAATGGTTGAGAGGTTGACCTTCAAATGCCTGTTTGAAAATAAAGCATAGATTACTGCAGTGCTAGGCTTTTTATTCTAATGTGCTAATGATTGTAAGAATGGCAGAGACAGCTAAAAATGTATTATCTTCAATTAGCTGAACACATGGAATAGTTAGATAAGGAACATTTAGATGAATCCCCTCATGCATTTAGTGAATGTGCAGGAAAGATAAAGGGAAGATCATTGCTATCTATGATGTCTCTGGACAATCATACATTTAACATTTGTGTAACAGATACCTTGTACCTGTACTTCTATCAGGTAGTGAGAACTGGCTAACCATGCAGAAACGGAGCTTACAATCATTTAAAGCAGTGGCCCTCAACCTTTTGGGCACCAGGGACCGGTTCCGTGGAAGAGGTTTTTCCATAGACTGGAGGGGTGTGTGGTTTCGTGTGCTGCCTGCATCCTGTGGATGGGGCTTCACTAGTTTGCCAGTTTCTGGCATGCTGCAGACCCCTGCTTTAAAGGATTTGCCCTTTTTCTTCCCCCTTCAGAAGATGTATGATGTGCAGGAGGGTAATAGCTACAATTGTCTTCATCTCTCTGCTGGGGAAAAAAAGTTAATTGTTCATTACTGTCAGCCAATCTTTAATTATAGTTGTTTCAGAAAAAAGATGGCCATTCTAATTCTGTGCATAAATGCTCCCTGCATATCTTGATTTATCTCTTTGCCTCTACTTGTATTGATGGACACTGTAGATTCAGAAGGACCCTTTCTATGCAACAGTACTTGCAGTCCCTGATCTCTGGGCAAGGAACCTCAATACTCAGACACTCACCAAGGCCAGCTGTCAGTTCTTCTGCAGATTATATGATTACATCGGGTCTGCTAAGAGTATTGGAGGAGAAGGACTGGCAGAGCCAGGGGGAGGGATAAAAAGAGGGATCAGTCTAGAATCACTATGTAGCCATAAATGAACTAAGTCCAACTCCCTCCTCCCCTTGACTGCCATTGACTCTTACCTAATTCTAAACAAGGACTGATCATTAGTTGAGAAGATTCCTGTGCATAGACTTTTAGCAATAAATCAGTTAAATTGTACCTTCACATGAGGACCTAATTTTTTTGCATCTCAAAAGTATTTGACATTTGGCTGTTTAATACTTTAATTGGATTTCATACTTAAAAAGTTTTAGGCCCTTCTTTTTTCCCACAGAAAATAATCCCTGTTTAAATCCTTCTGAATACCCTTTAAAAAAATATTATTTATATTGCTGGTTTTCTACCAAAGATTGAATTCCATTCTGCTGTCTTTTGGAGCCTGTGCCATCAAAATGTTTTTTTTAGTTGATGCAAACTCTTTCTTCTAGGATGCTGGGTTCTGATGTCATTCCATTACCACACATCTATGGAGCCCGAATTAAAGGTGTTGAAGTCTTCTGCCCTCTTGATCCCCCACCTCCTTACGAAGCTGTGATGAGCCAGATGAGACATGAGCAGGTATTGTCCATGCTGTTCTTCCAGCTTAACGTGATTTCACAGGAGTCCATGGTACACTGTCACATCCTTCAGATGGTTGAATGTGCACTTCTCTGCCACTGAGTAATGTGGAATGCCACTAAATAATACGATGGAAGTGGAAGCTGTTGAAAGAAATATTTTATACTTGATCTAAGCTTGGGACTTTGTTGCTTTCCCACTTCCTGCTCTTTGTGTCATATAATGTCAAATATCAATTCTGAAGAACTTAAAGTATACACACACATTGAGCCCAAAATTTCTGTTGTTAAGCAAAACATTTGTTAAGTGAGTTTTGCCCCATTTTACGACCTACCTTGCCACAGTTGTTAAGTGGATCATTAAACTTGTTAAATTAGTAATATGGTTGTTAAGTTTATCTGGCTTTCCCATTGACTTTGCTTATCAGAAGGTCACAAAAGGTGATTACATAACCTCGGGACACTGCAACTGTCATAAATATAAGTCAGTTGCCAGCATCTGAGTTTTGATCACAATAGCATAGGGATGCTGTAATGGTCATAACTGTGAAAAATGCTTTTTTCCCCCCCAGTGGTATTGTAACCTCGAGTGATTGCTAAATGAACTGTTGTAAGTCGAGGGCTACCTGTACTGTTTTTGCATTTTTGTTCTAATTAATGTATTAACCAAGTCTGTATTTCAAAATCGTGAGTGTTTAAAAATAAGTCCTAAAAGATTATTCTGTTTTAAACTTATTCGATGGTTATCCGAAACTCTAAAGCTGTAGGCTATATTGTTCTGCTCAGTGCATGTATTTATATCTTAAAAATTCTCAGTTTTAACAAGTAATTGTAACATCAAATATAGTTTTCTTCAATCTCAGATCATTTCTGCTTTTAAACCCTGATAAACATGCTAGAGGTTTAAATATTTGTAAAGAATGGGAGGAAAACAAACTTTCAAACCAGAATGCACTTAACTTTTCATCTTACTCATTTCTATAAGAATTTGGGAATTCAGAAATTAATGACGGCTTAGACATTTTCATAGGTCTCTGTGTTTTTTCCCCCCCTAGTTGGCATGTCTTGTAATCCCATATAATCCCCAGTCACCCTGTGGAATAAAAAAGTGACCAAGGCCACTGTATAGTTGTGTTTAAGTCTCCCACCCCTCCTGTCACATGAGCTTCTTGGTATATCTCGCAGCTGAAGGTAATGAAAAGTAAATAGAGGAAGTTTCAGGCTAGATCGATTTATATGAGCGACTTTGGGAATTGTTCTATAGAAATGACAAAGTCAGAGTTCTTTTTCACCTCTGTGGATCTCCTCACTAATGTCCAGTGATTCAACTTTGATCTTTAAGGAAATTAACTGTTTTTTCAACAGTTTACAAGGCTGTTTGAAGATAAAAGCTATGTTCAGGGGTAGGCAACCTTGGCTCTTTTATGACTCGTGGACTTCAACTCCCAGAGGTTTCCAAGCTGAGCCATGCTGGCTCAGGAATTCTGAGAGTTGAAGTCCACAAGTCATAAAAGAGCCAAGGTTGCCTACCCCTGGCTAATGTGCATCTGGTATGACTTGGACTCTGTGGCTAATCTGTCTGTCTGCCTATCCTATCCCATCCCATCATATTCTATCCTATCTTATCCATTTATCTGTCTATCTAGAAATTTATTTGCTGCCCATCTCCTGGGTGACTCTGTGTGCCTTACAGCATAAAAACATTAAAATCATCAATTATAAGATAGCAAAGCAGATAAATTAAAATAATTAATGATGATGAAGGAGGAGGAGGGAGCCAGATCATGGGGAGGGGGGTGGGATTAGGTTTAAATTAATCAACCACCTCCAGTGTAAGGCTCCCCCATTATGTCCCCAAGCCATCTGGCAGAGCCTGGTCTTAAGACTCTTAGGAAAAGTCAGGAGGGTGGGCTGTTTAACAGACGTCCATCATATTGTCTTGTACAATTACTATAGATGAGCTTCTTTTACTTGAGAATGCAGACAGATTTCCTGGACAAGTTAAAAATATATGTTATGCCTGACTTTTTACATGTAATAAAGAGGAATAGTTTGACCGACAGGGCAATATCCCTCCTATTTTCAGATCCTTTTCAATCCAGCTCTATATTTGTCCTTAGGATATGGAATTTGTTGCTGACTTTGCAAATCAGACTTTAAGGTAGAACCAGAAGTGGAAATAATTTCTTCAGTTCTCTTGGACCCCTCAGAACTCTTTAGTGGTATTTAACCATGCTGTTCTCATGGTGAGAACTGGAATGTGTTAAACAATGGATCTGTCCCTCTTCCTGTTTCTAAACATTGATATTGCAGGACTGTTGCTCTGCATCAGAATTTTGTGTCACGGCATTCTTGGCATCTCAGTTTTATCTTCCCACGTTAAGTAACAGCTCCACAAAACCAGTGGGGGGGTGAGCTGAGTTACTGTCAACAACCCCCAACTTCAGCTCTTCTTCACATATGCTGAATGGCGTTCAACGTTTTCTGAGAAGGGCTGCCCTTTGCTTGACAGATAAAGTCGCTTCAGCAACCAGAACCATCTTGAGGCTGACATACCAGATGCATCAGAGACAGCCTGGCATCAGTTACATATTCTTTAGTGATTTTACTGTTGGATTACTACAGTGTGTTGTACGTGGGTGTCTTTTTTAAAACAATTTGGAAATTTCAATAGATTCAATCAGTCAATCATTTTTTATCCAGTCATAGACTAGTGAATAAAACAAGAAAATCACAATTGAAGTAAAAAGAAAAAAGGTCTAAAATTATCTAAGAAGATTAGAAAAGAAACTACAGCATACAAATTATAGAATAGTACTCAGATGTCAAAAAATAAAATCAGATTGATATGATAATCACTACGCATAAAATAAATCAGAATGACCAGAATGTTTAATAAAAAATGGAGATAATTATTCCTGGAGAACATTTGTGATATAGTGGTGTTTCTTTGTAATTCTATTAAACTTTAAAATTAAATTTAAATTCTCTAAAGTCAAGAATGTATTTCAATTTCCCATTAATTTACTTAGAAGATTACTCTGTTAATTTTATATTTAGGAGGATGCTTCCAATTCAGCTATTGCAGAAGCTGTAAGTGACCCACCTGGACGAAATGATACACAAGTGCCACAAGGTAAAAAATGTTTTTGGAAGTATTGTGCTATGAATTAGCAATGAATTACAGAGAAATGCAATAATGATTGTTTTCTTATTTAAACTAATTTACTGTATCTCTATAACAACCATCTGCTCTTAAAATTGATCACTCTGGAACAGCCCTTTTCTTTCTTTCACTTAAACATTGTAGGAGGAGAACCATGTTAGTCTATGGTAGCAAAAGATCAGGGGGAGTTTGATTTTTGACTAACAAATTATATTTTAAAAAAAACCCAAACCTGCAACTCATTTCACCAGATGCATAGAGTAGCTAGACTGATATAGGATTTAAACTAGGGTTAGTGGGAAGAGGGGGGATGGAGGTCAGTTAAGTAGATGGAGGGTGCACATAAGACAGATTGTCAGTATTTCATTGGAATGTGTTAATGTGTGTTTGTTCTGTCCTTCTGAGATTGCCTGCACCATTGACATAGGTGAGTTCATCATCCTTTCACTCAGTGGAGTAGAGCTGGCAATGCTCCACTGTTTTCTACATAGGACAAACTTTGCACAGAAGAATTAATAGACACAAATTTGACATCAGAAAACAAAACAAGGAAAAATAGCATTGAAGCACTTCAGCCTTCCAGGACATTGTAAAGTCCTTGAAGTGACTCTTTTGGAATAACAGGACTTTATCTCCACCATTGCTAATGAAATGAGTAAGTCTTACTGTTGGATTTTGGAAGCAACTGAACAGAACTAAAACATTATTTGTTCTAAAGCCTATTTCATGTTAGTATCATTATTTGAGGAATAAATTTCACAAGCTTTTTATGATCTTGTATTAATGGTGCTGCCAAGCTATTGAATTAGTTTTGAAAATACACATGTCTAGAGTAGACCATGAACAATAACTTTATTTATGTTCTGTCTTCCAGAGCAAGTTCTCATAGTTTACAATTTTAAAAAGTACAGAATAAATAATATGAATAAATTCAACAGATATTTTAAAATGAGAGAGATTTATTGTTAAAATAAATGAAAAGACCTCAAGAATAAAATAATCTTTGGACCCGGTTAGGTCACACCAGACAGAACACATATAGTTCTTATTAGATTCTCCCAGTGAGGGATCCTGGAATCCACAAATATCAAGCTATGTTTTTTTTATTATTGAACTGAATGTCATGTGCACTGCTCTTATTTGGATGAAGGGAACAACTAGGAGGGTACTCAGAAGAAATTGCCAACAGTAATTTTCCAACAGCTTTGTTTAGATCTGTAAAACTAACACAAGATACTGTAGATATGCTCTATCCCCTGTGTGGATACCTGATTCTGAATTTAGTGATTTGATGGATAAGTGGAAAACATCTTGTTTTGAGCTCAACATGATGTTTTGAGTCATTGTACCACTAACTCTTAACATTCTTTATTGATTTATTCACCTTTATTCTTCCTTTATCTAGCTTTGTTAGTTCTCTAGCAAAACCTTCTTTATAACCAGTTTTACCATGTGATCCCCTTGAAAGTTGTATTAAAACACAAATTATGATCATTTCATTTGGATCAGAATTTGAGAGACCACAAGTAGGCAATGAGCCCTCTTTCAGTATCCAAGTATCTATCACCCAGCTGAAAATTATGAATTTGTGTTCCCTTTACTTTGAAACAAGATACTTCTGAAAAGAGCTTTGGCACCGTTCCCCCATTAAAAAAAATCTGAATTAATTATTTTAAATCTCATGTGGCCTGACCTACATCCATGTCCTTGTTTTTATCTTGGCAACGACATAGAAGTGGTTTGTCATGAAGCTTGGAAATATTAGTTTTTATATATTCAGAGGACAATAGGAGCAAATGTTTTTCATTTCTGCAAGCTATTTATGATAATACTGATAATTCCCAGGTGATTAAAGCAAAGCATGTCTTTTTATGTCCATGTTTCTATAATACTGCATACCCAAGTTTACATATGCTTGTGAACATGATGTTAAGATAACAAGTCCAGCTTTTTAAGATTTACAGTTTGTTTTCTTTGCTTATGGAAACATAGTTTGCCAAATGTGATATAGAACTCTGTTAGACACTTGTCATTGGCACATTGGCAATATTTCAATAATGAGTGCATTACTCTTTTATAATTATTATCATGCTTAACAGAAACCTTTATTGTAATGGAAAGCTTTATAAGTATTGCTTGGTAACCATTGTTTAAGTCTAAATGATTGTAGAGGTCTGTTTAAAAGAATTATATTTCCTGATTTTTTTCTCTCTCCCTGCTTTCTATATTTGTGTGTGTGTGTGTGTGTGTGTATGGAGAGAGAAAGAGAGAGAGAGAGAGAGAGAGAGAGAGAGAGAGAGCACACTTGAGTTCATGCTAACTGAATTTCTTATTCCTGTCTTTCTTCATTGCAGGAGATGAAAGTTCTTTTAATACTTTGAGTAGAGAGACCACCTTGTCTCCAGATGCCAGCTTGGTACCTGTGGGGGCTTCTAAGCTATTCAGAAAACGATCAAAAAGCGATCCTGTTCTTCAGGGTTTTCCATTCAGAGGTGACCCGACTCTTCTCCCCTTTCCAGAAAATGTTCTTTATCTCTTTTTTTTTTTCCTGAGACCACAAAATGAAAGAGATTTATTGGCATTAGGATTGTTCCATCTCAAGTGGTGGTGTTGCCTTGGAGCTGCACATTATTCAATGAAAAATGATGGTGGTCTTGTTAGAATCAGGACCCTAAAGCCCAGTGAGACTCTCACTTCTGCCAGAGGAGCGGGAGTTGCAGTTGTGCACCAGTTGTGCACCAGCTCCCCTCCCCACCAATTATTCCAAGGCTGCAAACAGCTACAGGGGAGGGGGGGGAGGGTTTGATGCAGTGTTTCTCAACCTTGACAATTTTAAGGCATGTGGACTTCAACTCCCAGAATTCCACAGCCAGCAATGCTGGCTGTGGAATTCTGGGAGTTGAAGTCCACATGCCTTAAAATTGTCAAGGTTGAGAAACACTGGATTACAGCCAGCAGAACTGAGGCTTAGCTTTGTAGGCATGATGAATTTGTAGATTAGTGGTGCTGGAGGGCAGTTTTCTATATCTGTACCTCATTCTCATTCTAAAAGGATCCTTCACTGAGTATTGCTATTCAGCAGCCTTTGCAGAGCCAGGTATGGATAAAGTTTCTTACAGTAATTCTGCTAACAAGGCAAAGAACAATAAGGAAGCTTTAGGAAAGCGAAGGGAGCAGTTGCAATGCATCGGCTCACATTTGTGTGTGGATCGCTTTGTACCAAGATGAATGTGAATTCTTATCTGTCTCTTTTTCCCCTCAAATGTATTACTTTTAGAAGTGCAACGCCCCCCTTCCACACACATATGCAAAAACCCAAGAATAGGACATAAGTAAAAATATTTACCAACGTTGCAGAATTAACTTTAAAACAACCCAGAAAGACATTAATAAAAGCGGCCTGTTGGAAATACAATTTGAAAGTACTAAATAAATAAGTCAGTATTTAAATTGAGTTATTTTGCAGTAATTAACAACCAGTATATCTCAAATTATTGACTTTTTAAACTATAGCACAAACATTTTGGACGAAGGTGGTGCTGTGATCTTAGCCTATCTGGATTTTAGCAAAGTGTTTGATAGAGTTCCACATAATGAGCTCATAAAAGAGTTGTACAGGCTAGGGCTTAACAACTGGGTGGTTCAGCGGTTAGGAAGTTGGCTCAGGGATACATGCCAGTTTGTGATTGTTAATGGGGCACTCTCTGAACAGAGACCAGTCACAAGTGGTGTGCCACAAGGCTCAGTCCTAGGTCTTGTTCTATTCGGTGTGTTTGTAAGTGATATAACAGAAGGATTGCTAGTAAGGTTTGTCTTTTTGCTAATGTCACAAAAGTGTGCAATAGGTTGACATTCCTGGAAGTATTTGTAACACAGAAAACCATTTGGCATTGTTGGAAAATTGATGAGAAATGTGAAAAGTGCAGTTCAATGTTCCTGAATGTAAGATCATACACTTATGGGGGGGAAAAAAATCCTCTGGCAGGGTTTGTGGGTAAAGTGTTAGACAGACAGAATTGCCGTATCCATGTTGGGGGGAGTGCTCTTGGTGGTTCTTTGTTAGGTTTACTGTTAGTTTGTTTGACAGTTCCTTGATTGGGGTCTTGTTTGTTTCTTGATTGTTAGTTTAATGTTAATCTTGGTGTTAATCTCTGCTAATTTGGATGTTGATTGCTGGTAAAGTGTGTTTATGTCTTTTTGTTTACTTTTTGGCTTTTTGATTGTCTCTTTTGAATGGGATGTAGATATTGTTTATGCCTATGTGCCTGTTGATGGCCAATTTAGCAGAGTGCCAGATTTCCAGGAATTCTGTTTTTTTAGCTTTGTTTAGGATGGTCACAGTTTCCCTGTAGAAACAATGGTTAAGTCTGACAATGTGTTGTGAAATTAAAGAGTTTTCATCATGTCTTCTGACTGCTAGTTGGTGTTCATGGATGCACTCTGCTAGTCTTCTGCTGCCTTACAAAGTGGCTGTTGTAGTCCTTGCTCTAAATATTATAGATGACTCCTGTTTTTCTTCTTGGATTGCTGAGTCTTTTGCTTTACTTAAGATGTTTTGGAAGGCTTTAGTTGGTTTGTGTGCTACATTAATGCTATGGAGTTGTAATAGTCTGTTGGTGATTTCTGGGATGTTTTTGATGTACAGCAGTGTTATCTTTTTTACAGCTTGTGTTGGCTGTACTATATTGGGTTGAACATTCGGGCACTTTTTGATGAAGTTATATTTTGTTGGAAGATGTATAGATCACTTTGTTTTCTTTTTCTGATGTTCAGGGTGCTGCAGTGTGTTTGTGCTCAGCTACATCATGTTCTTACACAGCTTCTCTTGTCGGAGGTTGCATTGTTACTTTGGTAGTGGATCACTTAGTTGGTGTGAGTGGTTTTACTATAGACTTGTGTTTCTAGTTTGCCATAACTGTCTCTGCTAATGAGGAAGGATAGCATATTATTTTTTTTCTTCCCTTTCTCTTCCCATATATTTGTCATTTCTGCCTTTTGGTAATTGGTCTGTCTTCTAAATCTTAGTTTTGGCTAATTACATATAGTTCACTGGTTAAATATATTGAAATTATCCCTCAAGTAAATTTATATAGCTTCTGTATATAGTATGTAGTATAGTTAATTTCTGGATAAAAGCTTGGATAGGGTGATTAAAATAAGCATCTCCCATATTAAAGATAGATTATCACCACTACTTCTAAGAAGAAGATTGTTCTTTTTAGTTTCAAGGGTGGCAAAAATAATATCTCTTTCTAGTCATATATTCATCATTTTCTCAGACATGCTCCTGAAAAAGTATTTATGATCCAGTGTAGTGTAGGTTAGTGTAATGTATTGTGATATATAGTGTTAAAAACAGGTCAATATCTTCTTATGACCACAGAGTTTACTTGGACAGTCATACATTCTGTGTTTTTGTAGTGATCACATCACAACACTGTCCATGTACCCTGCTCTGGGAACAACAGCAATATTGAAAAGAAGAGGAGAGTAGAGGGAACAGAGTGTGTGCAAAAAACTATAATGCGAATTCTTGTAATTACGGAATTTATGTTCTATTTGTAATATTAGTTAACAATAATGAATATTCTATAATGGATTCCTGATTTATAATAAATATCTGAAGTGCAGTGCACTAGTAATCAAAACTAGGTGTTTTTCAGTTTGATTTGGCTTCTGTGTATTGCTACATTCAAGCATATTTCATTCAGGCATATTTTTTATGGGGTTCAGTGATTAAGTTTAATTATGGAATTCTGCCAATTATAGAGGGAGCCAAAAATAGAACATTTTGTTATTTTATTTATTTATTAAATTTGTATGCTGCCCATCTTACTATCCAAGTAAATCTGGGGGCTTACAGTGTAATGGTAGAAATGGCAGCGTTTGCATTGTGGTTTGTAATATGCTGTCCTGGCTGAGTTTATGACTGACTCTGTATGTATAAACTATTAGGGCGCATCCATTGAGATTTTTATTTTGTCTCCAGGTCCAGTGCTAAGTTGTGAAGCTGCCACTCAAACAGACCGAAAACCACAGCTGGCTACTGTCATTTTGCGAAAAACTCTGAGAGCAAAGGCTGTGCGCTCAAGGCCTCAGTCTTTAATAGACTACAAATCATATATAGATACTAAGCTTCTGGTAGCCAAATTCTTGGAGCAGTCATCCTGCAACATGACGCCTGACATACATGAACTAGTAGAAGACATCAAATCTGTCTTAAAATCAGATGAAGAACACATGGAGGAAGCCATCACCAGTGCCAGTTTCCTTGAGCAGGTAAGATACAACAGGTTGCAGCTCTGCTTGGGGAAGGAGAAGCCAGTTCAAAATGAGACTCAGCCTATGTTGCTGTCTGATGTTAGCTTTTTTTCCCTGGAAGAAGACAAAGTAATTTTTCATCTTAGCAAACATTCTGTTAGTTACAGGTTTGTTCTTTGATTATAGTTAATGATTCAATTTCTGTGATCCAGGTTAGTGAAGAAGGGCAGGAGATGGTGGACCTTTTGTCCTTATTTAATCACTTACCACTTTTGTATTGATTTTTTAAATTTTTTCTTTCTCTCCAAATTAGTAGAAGAATATAGTACCTATTTAAGGAATAGATGTGATCTTATCCTATATTTGCACTATCCAGTTATGTTGCTGTTCTTAAAGGTGAAATAGGATTTTGTTTACTTAGTAAGTAGTAAGTTAAAGGGAAAGGCTGAAGGTCTCCCCAAGTTTAACTGGTCATGTGAAAGGTCAGGTCAGCCCTTAGTTATGCTGGATATGCTGGTCTGTAGAAGATGAATAAGGATAGAAGTCTCCAGCTGGTAAAGTAGATAAAATAGGGAGTTGCAGAATTAGTTCATCTCTCGAAGACTGACAATTCTGAAAATTGATTATTTTTTAAAAAATAAAAATATATATTTATGGAAAGAAAGTAAAGTGATGAAAATTACTGCTGATAGTAAAGCACAAGCATGAAGACTCCAAAAACCCCTTTGTGTCAAGGCTTGATTCCCAATCAAAAGGAAAAACAAGCCAAAGGATATTAAAAAGATGTCCTGATGGCTAAAGGATTCTACACCTGGGCTTTTAATGAAATAGCCAGGTAATATATGAGGTCAGTTTTTTTAATTTATTTATTCAATTTCTATAGCCACCCAGCTCAGCCAAATGACTCTGGGTGTCTTACAGTTCAAAAACAATTAAAAAACAATAAAAGCATCTAAAAAATAAATACATACAGCAGCTGAAATAGTTAACCAACTAACAGTAAAGTCAATAAACGGAGCCCTTAACACATTTGGAACTCCAGGCCCAAGCACACATCACGTTTTTAAAGCCTTGCAAAGGGCGAGTAGGGTTGAGCAGTGGCTACTGCAGGAAAAAAAACAAACTTCTTCTTGATCTCCAGAAGTTGACACTCTTTGGCTGGTGGGATCTGCAGCATGCCCAATCTGCTTTTTATATTTTTAAGGCGGCTAACATTGTCTTTATCCTCACATTTCTCAGCTAAAAATAGGTATGGCAGTTGACAGTGTAATGTTCTTCCTTTCCAAAGGTCATGACTCCTGCTCGCCCATCCATAACAAGAGCACACACGCTGCCTTTCAGGAGGCACCCGGGACTTTTGCACTTGGAGAGCTGTGGAGATGTAAGTACTTTTACTGCAGCCGGAACTCGGGGGCCGAACAGGAGGACGCAGCGGATGGAGCCAGAGCGGCCTCACAGTCTCATTGGAGTCGTCCGAGAAACCGTACTTTGAGCTCAGTTGCGTTTTGGTCCCATGTGGAGTGCAAAGGCTGGAGCCGAAAAGCAGCTGGATGGCGGGATCCTTAATCTATATTTCTTACTTAACTGTACTGCTGCTTTTGAAAGAGCATTTGAGGGGGAAAAAATTGAAGTAAATTACTTCAAAGAAAACAACGGTGCATTATAAATATAGCTCTGAATCATTAAAAAAAGGATATTCAGGTGTAGTTAGGATATATGAGGAAAGAGGAGTCTTCTTCATAAAAACAAGTCATTGTTTCTGCATAAACTTTGAATGTTGTCTCTGGTATGCGTGGGTTTCATTTTAATGTTTTATATCTGAAAGGGAATATAAGGTACAGGTATATCTACAGTATATGGAACTGAAGTATGTATTCTCATTCATCCCTTCCTTTCCTTTTCAATACTGTTGCACTACACATGATTTATCACGGTAATTTTTGATAAAGAAGCTTTTGAAATGACTTTGACCTGTGGGGTGCACAGAGCTATCCCTTTACAGTATTTCCGTGTTGCATGAACCTTCAGCTCATTTTGTATCACTTCAAGTGCAAAAGTGCTTAAAAGTAGCAGGTCATTCAGGTTTCTGCTCATAAACTACTCAACAATCTTGAAAAAATGGAATAATAAAATTCAGAGCAATGATACATTTTTTCCAGGGCAGCTTTATTACAAAAATGATGATGGGAGAATAAGCAATCTTATAGCAAGGCAGAAGGCTGTACATCAGGGGTAGTCAACCTTGCCTCTTTTATGACTCGTGGACTTCAATTCCCAGAATTCCTGAGCCAGCTTAGCTGGCTCAGGAATTCTGGGAGTTGAAGTCCACGAGTCATAAAAGAGCCAAGGTTGACTACCCCTGTTGTACATGCTTTAAAAATGATTCAAAAGAGCTTCAGACTGGAAGAAAGTAAGAAAACAGTAGGATGCTATTTATGCAGCCTGAAAATAAAATGCCGTTGCTTTTAAAAGTTAACTCATAATCCATTAAAGAGGTGGCATCCTTTTTGGGGATCATGTAGAAGCCTGAAAAAAAATAAACTGCATTAATGAATATCCAGAAATGCTGGGCTTTGGAAAGACTGAAGCACTTCTTAATCATTTTCAAAGTGCCCTGTACATGTTTTATGGGAATGATTTTATTTCTGTTTAAAACATACAGATTATAAATGTATTTCTAGTGATTTCTTTTTTCATAATTTGGCTTAAATCATTAGTAGGAATCCAGATGAGAAAAGAGAGGTTTTTCTCTCTCCCTAAATCTTTGCTGACTTAAAATACATTTCTGTACATTTCAAAACACTTGTCTGTAATGGATGAAACTGGTGGTAGGAGCCATTGCTACCAATTTTCAGGTTTTTATTTTCAGCTTCCTGAAATGCTGGTAACCCAACTCTTCTTTTCCTCAAATTATTTGTCTTAATTCAGAAAATTAATAAGCTGTATTTAATTTTGATTAATACAAATGAAATAAAGCGTGTTTCGGTTTTCTTTTTCTTGACTTCATACATTAGCTATTCCAATTTGTTTCCTAAGTTTCACTGATGGGCTAGAGCAGTGGTGTGGACTTATGGACTTCACTCCCAGAATTCCTCAGCCATGTTGGCTGGGGAATTCTGGGACTTGAAGTCCACAAGTCTTAAAGTTGCCAAGGTTGAACAACCCCGGGCTAAAGCCTGCGTTAGTGGTTCAGACCTCTCGACTTTATCTCATTGAATTTGATATCTCCATCTGAAACATGATTCAGTAAAATAATTACCTGTTTTCCAATTTGCTAACAGGAAAACCATGACTATAATTTTTTGGTGAAGATTCAATGAAAAGTAATGCCTTGATTTCCATGACTAAAAAAGGAACACTTTAATAAAGCAAACAGAAAAAATAATCCTTGAAATTAGCTCTTTTGTTGCCAGTATTTACTTCTACTAATACATTCTGCCAATGATGGACAAGCTTCTTAAAATGTCACAAAATATCCATACTTTATCTCTTAAAGCATGATTAAAAAATGGGAAGGCAAGGTGCAGCATGTATACGGGGGAAGTGGGATAAGCTATTTGTCCAACCACCTCCAGTGTGATAATCCCCCATTGGGGCCTTACACCAACTGGCAGAACCACGTCTTCAGGACAGTGAGAGCTGATCTCACCTCAGGATGATGGGGGCCAATCTCGCCTCAGTAATATGTTCAAAAGGGCAGGAACCATGGCAAAGAAGGCTCTTCTGGATACAGAATTCCCTGACCAACAGGGTCCGCAGCATGCCTCCTCTGCCAGCATGGGTGAGGCAGGCCAATCCCACTGGAATGGGACAGCTCCTCAAGTAGTCTGGACTCATGCCATGTAGGGCTTAAAAGTGATAACATCTTGAATTGCACCTGGAAGCAAACTGGAAGCTAGTACAGCTCTTGAAATAGCAGTGCAGTCACTGTCCTGGCATCTCTTAACCCTTTTCAGAACTTGCAACTCCTCCATGACCCATGGGGAGAGTCAGGAATGATGGGTCAAGAGAAGTCTCACAGGCACGATCCTGTCCAAAACATTGATCGTCGTTCCAGGTCACTATCCAGGCTTTGGCAGGGCCATGTTGCAAACTCTCCGTGATGTCCCCAGGTTCCCTCTGGAACCCATTCAGGTCCATCAGTTGCTGAGGTCAAATGGGTCCGGCCTCCCTGCGGAAGAGGGTGGCATAAGGACACCAGAACGTGATCTGACCATGACAGAGACAATGTTAAATCCTCCACCAGTTCACACTGCCGTTGTTCCAAAAAGAAAATCGCCTCTGGTGTGTCACCACAGTCCCAAGTCACAACTATGATGATCTCTGAAAGGCCCATGGCCACCATGGGGCCATGAACTCCTGGGCTGCTTCCAAGGTCACGTCCAGGGATGGCTGATTGAAGTCTCCTGGATCCATAAGCCTGGGGAACTCTGCCACCAGACCACAGGTGGCCTCTTGCAACTCAGGCAGGGAAGTTCCCACACGGCAGAGAGTCTGATACTTTAGCAACAATCCCAACTGATCCTGTGAGAAATACGGTCTCACAACCAGAAATTTGGGAAGCAGGGTCCCTGAAGGCCAGAAGAGACTTTCTAAGACCATGTATTGTAGCAAAAGTTCTTAACACTTATAAACTTTACATAATTGTTTCAAAGTTTAGAGAGTTGTGAAGTAAAGTTGATAGTGATGTGGATTTCAAAAAATCTTTATGAATATCCATCTGCATTCCCCAAAAATTAGGATCATGAAATTTTCCTGCCAAAACATAGGTTTTAATATGAGGATGGGGATAGTAAAAGCTTATGATGATATTCTGTGGCCTGATGCTTGGTTTCTAGGTCTATTTCACTGGCTATTATGAAGCTGTGAAGATTCCTCACTTTCATTCTCACTCCTTGAAGTGCATTTGTAGCAGGGTTCCAGTTCACACACAATAGCAACACAATCCTTTGTCAAGTAACATCTGGTCAAATAAAGTGAAAGAATGGATACTAAAGAACATGACAGAGCTTCTAGTGCATCAGAACTGCCAGCTTAAAATATTGGAGACATCCCTTTTCACTCAACCCTATTTTTGAGCAGCATCAATTGAAAATACAGCCATATTTTAAAGGATGAAGCATGCTAGATTTCACAGAAATTGGTACAGGGAATTGTTTGGTGATATTCCCCATTTTTGATGTCTTAAGATAGAATATGATAACATTTATAGATTTTTCTGATAAGAACATCATTGCTAAATTGCAAATCTCTCCAATAGCTGGAGGGTGGCATGGTGGCTCAGTAGTTTAGACAGTGGGTTTGTCAGCTGGAAAGTCAGCAGCCCAGATTCGAGACCAAGCACCAAGTGACGGGGTGAGCTCCCATCCTCACCCCAGCTCCTGCCAGCCTAGCAGTTTGAGAGCATGTAAATACAAGCAGATAAATAGGTACACTACGGTGGGAAGGTAACAGCACTCTGTGATGTCATGTTGGCCACATGACTGGAAATGTCTTCAGACAGTGCTGGCTCAATGGCCTTGAAAAGGAGATGAGCACCACGCCCTATAGTTGGCAATGACTAGTGGAGCAAAATCCACAGGGACTCCTTTACCTTACTTTACTAATAGTTGGAGAAGCATATAGTATTGTTATAGCAAGCTGTTTGGAAGGGATATTGCCTATTCCTGAATGTAATTTTAGACCTGTGACAGAAGTGTATGGAATGTACTTCCCTGTCTTTTCCAGTCCTTGCTTTATCATGTGAGTAAGCTAGTGCAAACCAGACACATTATGCACAAGGTGGGGTTAACACTCTCCCTGCCTCAAATTTCTGTTCTTATTGCATCCATAGTGAGTCACCCCTCCTAGGATAGGAAGGCTTGGGTGATTATTTTCAGGGCGGTGCAGAGGAATTTGTGGAACAACTGACAGTCACTCAGATCCATTCCCAATTGGAATCCATGTGTGATGCATTTCCCCATGCCTGAGGAAAGCTCTTACTCAGCTATTTGGGAACAGTTTGATACTGATGGACCTGACAAAGGAGGCAGGGTCCTTGATACTGTCAATGCAACCACCTGCCAATTAGATCCCTGCCCGCTTGGCTGGTGAAAGATTTTAGTATGGTGACTGCCAGATGGGTTCAGGCAAGGATGAATTCTTCACTGCAGGAGGGGCCATTCTGGGACTTTTCAAAGAACGCCTGGTCCATTGTCTTCTTAAAAAAAACAACCCATTTCTTGATCTCATATACCTGGGTAGTTGCCATCCAGTCTGTCACCTTCCTTTTTTAGGGAAGGTGGCAAATAAGGTGGTTGTGTGGCAGCTTCAGAGGATCCTGAAGCTGTCACACAACCACTATCTCAGACATGTCAAATACAAGGCCCGGGGGCCGGATGCGGCTCGCAAAGTGGTTTCATGTGGCCCCCGAAGCCATCCTGGAAACAGTGAGGGAACAGCCGCCGCTACCTTGGCCCTGGCCCAGGCCGGCTGGGAGCCAATGTACAATTTTGTGGTGGCCATCTATGCTGAAACGCATTCAGTCTTAGCTCCACAAGGCCGTCTGGAAACAGCGAAGAACCAGCCCCTGCAGCGTCGGCCCTGCCCCCTGGGTGCATGCTGGGGAAGTGTCACCCTTTGTGAGGAATGAAGAAATGGACCATGCCTTGGTGCTTGACCCGGTCTCTTCTGCCAGAGACCCTCATATCTGTCCCACTCCTGCCCAGGCCCCACAGGCACCCTTGACGTGAACGATGTAGAGCTGGCCATGCCCACCCAGTAGGCCACACCCACTCCATCCACACCCACCAGTAGGCCGCACCCACCTTGGCTACACACACCCCGCCCCCCCCGAGGGCAACCGCAATGCTGATGCGGCCCTCAATGAAATTGAGTTTGACACCCCTGACCTATCTGAACCTCTTCCAGTCAGATTTTGGGTCTAGTTATGGGACAGAAACAGCATTGATGATCTCTGACAAAAGCATGATGAGGGTAGAGTAGCCATCCTTGCTCTTCTTGACTTTTCAGCAGTCTTGAATATCGACTATAGCAGGGGAAGGCAACCTTGGCTCTTTTATGACTCCTGTACTTCAATTTCCAGAATTCCTGAGCCAGCCATGCTGGCTTAGGAATTCTGGGAGTTGAAGTCCAGGAGTCATAAAAGAGCCAAGGTTGCCTACCCCTGGACTATAGTATCCTTTTGGAGCAGATGTAGGATCTGGGGCTGGGTGACCCAATCTTGCATTGGGTTGGCTCCTTTTGTCCAAAGCCAACCCTCATTTCCTGTTGATAAGGAGAGCTCCAGTCCAGTCACTCCTTTGTGGAGCGCCACAGGATTCAACACAGACCCGCTGTACAACCTGGGGGTTCTCCTGAACTTTCAACTCCTGCTCAAAGAGCAGATGGTAGTTGTGGCTAGGAGACAACTTTGTGTTGTGTCCAGTTGTGCCCTTTCCTGGATTGAGTCCTGTGCTCAGTCACTCAGGCTGTGTCACCTCATATCTGGACTACTGCAATGTGCTACATAGGGCTACCCTTGAAGAGTATTTGGAAATACTGGCCCATGTTACATTGCTGTAATACTGGTTGCTAGTTTGCTTCCCAGTTCAATTCACGGCACTGATTAGCATAGTGGCTCCCAACCTTTTCTATACCCCGCACCCCTAGAATGCTTCTGATATAGTTTCGCACCCCTTACAAAAGTTTGAAATAACGGCAATGAATTATGCATATACACTATAATTTTGAAAACCCAAGTTTTTGCACCCCCTGGAATATCGTCTCTCACCCCCGGATGGAAACCATGGATTAGCACCTTTATAGTTTTTTATGGCATGAGACATAGTTTGGGATTGGCCACCTCCATTGGCAGAAGGGGCAAACTGAAGACTCCATTGGTCAAGGATTTCCAACTGGCAGGGTCCAAAAGTGCCTTTTCTGTAGTGGCTCCCACAACACTGTGCTCTCTGAGGTGAGATTTGCACCCACCCTTTTGACTTTCAGAAAGGGCTTGAAAACCTGGCTCTGCTAATTGACCTGGGGTCCTGAGGGAAGGAAGGCGTGTTATACAGCAGGTGGCTAATGGACTAAGACTCACCTCCATCCCATGTGTATTTTGCTCCATTCCTTGCCATCTTTAATTTTAAGTAAACTTTAATGTTAATATTTATTTTTTATATTCAATGTTTTATCTAGTTTTACTGGTAAGCTGCCTAGAGTTGCCTTTTGGCGAGATGGACAGCATATAAATTAAACTCAATAAATAAAGGGGCACAAAAGATCTGTGACAAAAAAATCCAAAAACTTCCAATCAATGGTACAGTATCCACATCCAAGGTCTTTCTTGTTTGTTTACTTATATGAGCATATGTATATCTTACCTCAAAATGAGAGCTATTTCCCAATAGTTTCATTTAATTAAATAGAGTAGGTCAGGTGAAAAACTTCTACTACCACCAACTTAACTCACCCATTCAGTACAGAACTATTGTAAAATGGTAAGCCAATTTCTAACCCTCACAGACAGTCCAGAAATTACACACATATACACACATGCATATTTCCCGTTTGAACACAATTCTTTTATTCCTAAAATAAAAATGTTTACCTTAAAATTAAATTATTCAAATGCACGTAGGAAAAATGGTAAATTTGAGGCAACCTAAACTTTATTGTAAACCTGTTGAAATTAAAGTTTGCTACTATATTTTCCTGCACTTTTTTGCATACTGGAAATGTTTATAAAATAAATAGTTCCTTTGATCACACAGAGAATCTTCTCGTATCAACTATTAAAAACATATGTATTCAGTGAATTCTTAACTTCCAATCCGTATCATTCTTATAATATTCTTTGGAGGTTCTGGAGTTGATTACAAAATGAAAGAAAAAGAGAAAGTCCTAATACTGGACTTTTTGAACTGAACTATCTTCTAGAAAAAACATACTGGAATTCAAGGACAATGTTGAAGCTTACACAAGTATTCGTTTCATTTCTTTAAAAGGCATCAATCCTACTCATATCTTACTTTGTTAATATGTCTTATCAGGAAGGCTATTAGGTATACAACAAACCTATTCTAAGAACCAATGTTGAAGAAAAGCTGTGGGTCTTTTTAACTTGGAACGGAGGCCATTTTTCTTGATTGTAGGGATCAGGAAGAAAATTAATTATGGTCTTTAATGGAAAAAATAAGTTGTGACTTTCAAATTGTAGGTGGTTATGGTTAGCAGTATGTTATGTTCCTGTGCTGATCACAATAATGCATGCTTAGAGCCTTTACAAACAATTGCAATATTTTCTAAAGCAGCTCACCATCAATAAAGTTCCACTTGCTTGTTTCGGAATGGAGGATGTTTCACACAAAGATAACTTACATATAAATATATATGTATTATATATTTATAATATGTATTATATGTTTGTAATATATATTACAAACCTGTAATATATATTGGAAAGCTGATGATTCTACAGCTAGAAACGTCTGTTCCATAGCAAGGTAATTTCACAGAATTATCGCATTGAATACATTTTTATTTGCACTTTATGTAGTGTATGCCATTTTACTCCTAATCCACATAACTTTGCGTTTCTCCAGCTACATTCCTGTATTTAAAAAAAATGAAAAACTCACCCTGCCCTACAAGTAGAAAAAAAAGCAAAACAGAAAGATGAAAAAAAAATCCAATTTTAGGCCAACTGAATATATAGCACGTATGTGTATGTGTGCATGTGTATGTGTATATATTCACATATATACAAATGCAGGAAAATGCATTTTCTTTTCACAACTAAATAAATACAATAGGTGAATTTAGTTAAATGTCCAAAGTCCAAGAGCTGAATGTAATATATTTTATTTTGCTTTGCTTTGAAAAATTACAGCTTTATGCATATATCTTGTACTTTTTATGCAGCACTTAGTGATCCCACATCTAGTTTGTTGACCTGAGCTATAGCCATTTCATTTCAGTAAAGCAACAAGTATTAAGTAGCTCACTGACCGCAAATTTGCATCTCAGCCTTATGCAGAGTTGGTCACTGATTCCAGCAAGTTGAAATGTACTACAATAGATAGGACTGGATGGCAAACTTGGACTGGTGGAAATGAAGTTTTATTTATTATTGTATATTGTTCCAGTAATACTCCATAGGCAATGTAATGTGATGGTGTACAATTCTTTTGAAGAAAGGGAATTAACACTCCAGTCTTGTTGCTATGCCTCTGCCAATGTGTGTGATTGGGGCATAGATAACCTTAATAACACCATGCCCTGAAGGAAATAGTTTTCTGTTAAATCACTCACTGTTCTATTGTACTATCAAATTTTCAGCTTCCCAGGGCTTTTACATTTCTGGAAAAGGGTGGAATCTCCATGCATTTACATCTAACACCCATGCAGGGCACTCTATCCCGAAGACCTGATCATTACGTATCTTTGCAACATGTGTGCAGAGTGCACATCCATGCAACATGCAAACACCCAACTCCTTCCCTTGGCACACATGTGTTGCTCTGGATGTAAAACTGGGCTGCCACCTTTCCCCCTTTATTACTCTATTTTCTATTTTCTTTCTTATATCCCACACAAATACCAAACACTTTTCAGAAAGATAAAACATGTCTGTCTGTCATATCAAAGCAAACAATTTTAGATTACTTTAAAGATCAAGGTATGTATGGTGAATAAACATTTATGTGCGCTATTCAAAAATACTGTGCTAAATTTATAATTGTGTAAGCTGCCACAGGACCTAAACTTTTGTGTTCTCACTCTATAGTTTACTACAAACATTACAGTCTACTGGCCTTGATTTTAACTATCATAACCAAACTTTTTGCAATATTCTTTCATTTCACAAGTGTCTACAATAATTAACTGAACACAACCTTCTTAGCATCACATGGGGTAGGAATAACTTTTTGTCTATTTTATATATGTATGTGTGTATATATAGATATATATATGTATATAACAAAATAAATTAAGTTTTTTCTTACATAATTATGGTCCAGAATTAAAGAAAAGTCATAAAAATAAATAAATTCAAGATTTTTATACCAAGATATGTTAAAATTAAAACTGGCTCAGAACAAACAAAAGTAGTACTGTATGCAGACTTGTTAAAATTCTTGTAACAAGCATACACTTAAAATGTAAAAACGTATTATGCCCACAATGGAAAAAGAATAGAAAGTCTAGCAAAACTTTTTCCTCATATCCCCATACTGGTTTTACTGGATATTTAGAATTTATCATTCATCTTGCAAAGAAAGTAGGAATTAGAAAAGCCACTTTTGAAAAATCGTATTGTATTCAAGAAATACATGACTTTTTGGAAATATGAGGAAAGTTTTTGAACTCAAGGGGAAAAATTGTAAAATAATATCTCCCATAGACAATACGCCTTTAAAAGTCTGGAGGTCTATCAGCAAAAGCTAAACACCATCTTTTAGTAATAGATTTCCATTATATAGATTTTTAATTACATAAGGAAATCAGTGTCTCCTTCAAACCATATTTAACTATTTGTTTAGGGTAAAATTATAATGTTGCTTTCCTACCTTTGGCACAGCAACTTTATAAGAGAAACAGATCAATATCCTATCTATTTTCATAAATTTGAGAACTTTACCCTGCCGTCTGTCGGTGAAAAGAGCTTTTTAACTTTTATTTTTATTTAGGATACTTGTGTTTTCTATCATACGAGCCACAAAACATAAATGACATAGCTTGAAGAAGTGCATGCACGTGTATATTAGAGATTCTTAAGTTACATAAAACTAGTTGTAAAAAGGCGCAACCAAAAATGCCATCTGTTACCCAACGGAATGATCAAAGGTAAGAAAAGAAGAAGAGAGATGCTGCTGCAGACATCAAAACGCAGCCCAAGAAAACACCACCACTAATGAGAAGGAATCTCCTCCATGCACACTGGAAGAGTCAGCTTTAGATGTAAACGGGTTGTTCCTGTGCAGTCAAGAGTCTGTACATGGCAGCTGGCATAGTCTTCATATGAATCTGGAAGAAAGAAAGGACTACTCAGTTGATCCTCCATCTAGAACAGGGGTAGGCAACCTTGCCTCTTTTATGACTCGTGGACTTCAACTCCCAGAATTCCTGAGCCAGCTATGCTGGCTCAGGAATTCTGGGAGTTGAAGTCCATGAGTCATAAAAGAGCCAAGGTTGCCTACCCTTGATCTAGAATAATCAAAAGGATCGGGGCATTTGCACTGAGTCAAAAGTAAAATAGCTTCAGTACTCTCCTTTCCAAAAACATTTGAAACAGGACGATGTACACATTCAACAGCAATATCCAATGCACAATATCACCTTTTAGCTAACCTATTAGTATAAGCCTATAAATAAAAGTTCTATTCAATATTTTGATCAATGCTAAATGTATGAATATATATTTAAAATGGGATATTAAACAGCAACTCAAATTTTAATACAAAACATTGTTATATGTTGTCTATTTCAGAGATCAGTCCATTAAATCATTGGATGTAAAGTTAAATGACAAAATAACTAATCACAGCTGACCAATATATAGGGGAGGGGGAGATCGTATTTCCTTGTGTATAATGGGAGGTGTTACTCTTTGATGATTGTGACTTCTGACTTCAAGCTAGTGACCCCACTCATTTTGTTTCTGGAAAGCTAAAATTCTAAGTTTGTCTATGAGTATATACCAGTGGTGGTGAACTTATGGCACGGGTGCTAGAGGCGGCACTCGGAGCCCTCTCTGTGGGCACATGCACCATCTCCCCAGCCCCGCCTCCTTCCACGGCCCCACCAGCAGCCCCCCCGGAGAGTTGCCCCTGGGCGCAGCGCACACGAAGCAGTGGAGCCAAGGACATGGTAACTGGGCAGCGGGGACAAAACTCTGCCCTTGCGCCCCTTTGCGCGGAATCTGCAGGGCACGGGCAGAGGGCATGGCCGCCATGGCGCTGCTGGGCTTCCTGGGTGATCTGTGGTGAGGCGTGGAGGTGGTGGGTGGCCCAGTGGGCAGGGCGGAGCGGGGACGGGAGTGGGGGGCAGTTTTTGAGCACTCGGTGTCTAAAAGGTTCGCCATCACTGGTATATACAATATTTTATGATCCTGAGGTGCTTATATGATCGAAACAGCTTGGAAGAAAGGAGTATAATCCTGAACCCAGCAAATACACAGTGTAAAGAATACAACAGGCTCAGGAAAATTTATAACATTACTATCTGTATTAAAGAGTGTCCTACCAGCATTTCAATTTGTGGCAGCAATAATGCAGCCAAGCCAAGCTTTCACGGGGCACTGATGGATGCCAGTTCTTACCTCACCAACAGCATTTGAGAGAACATGAACAATCTTTTCATGAGGTGTTGCTACGACACTTTGTCCATTTATTTCAATAATTCGGTGACCCACTCGGACTCCTCCTCGCTCTGCAATCCCTCCTCTCATAAGACTACAGATCTGGAAAGATATAAGAAACTAACAACATTGAAAAGGTACAATAGCAGGTGCTTCAATAAGGCCGAGCATTAATTTGCACTTGCATGATTGCCACTCTGATGTAGTGATTAAGGTATTAGCCTAGAAATCAGGAGACTGGGTGTTTTTGGACCAGTCTCTCCCTGTCAACCCAACCCACCTCACAGGATTGTGGTGTGGGGAAAATAGGAGACAGGAATATTAGGTATGTTTGCTTCCTTGAGCTAAATGAATGGATAAAAATATAATAATAACAAGGTATCATGCTCAGTATTCTCATTATATGCGAATGTTTTAACTGGAAGCATTTTAAAGAAATATTTGCGATAAATAGGATTATGAATAAGGAAGGATATCGACTATTACTTACAATGCCATTCTGTACACTGAAGCCTAGTTGGTATCTGAGGTCTGGTCTTCTAATGAGTACCGTAGTTACTGGAGGACATCTCACTATGTTCAGTTTCACTCTGGCTTGTGTTTTTAAACCCTGGAATACAATATAGCAGAATTTTACATTATTCTTTTAAAATCTGCAATGGACCTTAATATGGCAAGTATATTTTAAAAGAGAGTTTGGGTAGCATTACATTTAAGTTATTCTTAACATAAAAGCAAGGTATACAAAAATAAATAATTATAAGATCTGCATCAGTTAAACCAGGGGTGGGCAATTAATTTTCCCAAGAAACTGGGACTGTTGTGGAAGACGGCTGCCACCCTGGCCCTGTTGCCACCCCGAAGCCCCGCCCTGCTAATGCTGCCCCACCCCCTTTGCCAAAACTACCCCATCCCCTGATGCCCTACCCCCAATGCTGCCAGCACCATGGGCTGAACGGGGACTGCCTGTGGCCTGCAGGCCATAAAATGCCCAGGTATGAGTTAAACCCTGTGCTTTGAAATGAACACGAGGATGACTGCAGATTAATTAGAATATGGTACAAGCTCTTCTAGCTAATATGCAGCCCATGGATTGTGTAGTGATAACAGAATATTGAAGGAACTATCTGTAGTTGGGACCTTTGCAAATCAACATTGACAAATTGGAGAAGTAATAGAAAAATCAAGAAAAAAAGAGATGATCCTAAAAATTATTGGCCATTGAACCTAGTCTCAATACCTATGAATTAATGCCCTTACATTGAGTGGGACAGTAGAAACCACTGGGTGCCACTGGGCACCACTTTTGTGGCCAATACCGTTCAATGTTTTTATTGGTGACCTGGATTGATGGGTGGATATCACATTTTCAGATGACATTAAATTTGGAGGTCTGGCTAACATTCAAGATGCAGAATGAAATTGCAGTCTAATCTGGACAGATTGGAAGACTGAGCTGAGCGGACAAAGATGCTCTCCAGCAAGACAAGGAACTTTGTGGCTTGGGAACCTCTACATCGGAAAAGGATTTGACTGTGGTCATAACATAAGCTAAACATAAGAGCAATGTGAAGCAGCTCTAGAAATGTTAACACAGTTCTGGGCTGCATCAGAAGTTCCGTATCAAAGACATGTAATAGCTTTAACCACCTCTACTCTACATTTACAAAACCACATCTGGAACACTGTGTATGATTATGGGCAACACATTTTCAGTAGGATTGTGACAGATTATAACATATTCAAGAGGACAGCAACAAAGGCATTACAGGGACTTGAGGCCATTGCTCTGTGAGGGCAGGTTGAAGAAATCTGGGACTGGTGTGGAGAAAAGACTAGGGAGACATGATATCAGTGTTCAGTACAGACCAGGATGCTACAAGGAAGATGTTCAGGAATTATGTTCCATTAACAAGAAACTAGGATCAGAAATAAGGAGGCTAAACTACAACTACATTCTGTTTAAGGAAAAACTTCCACTCTGACAGTAAGATGTATATACAATGGTGGAATAATCTGTGGAGGTTGCTGTTGTCCATTTCTGACAATTTATTTTATTATTTTTCTTTATTTTCCTGCCACCTATTCTTGGAAGACTCGGTACAAATAAAAATCAACATCAGCACAAAATAGAAAGCAACTCCTTCAAAATTAATAAACCCCTAAAATAAACAAAACAAAATCCACATAATGAAATAGACTATATATAGTTATGTGTACTCCAGATGCCAATTTCACGCACAACATGCCTTCTTGGTTTTTCTAGATGGTTTTAAAGGATCTCAATTGAAAGAAGATGGAATAGATCAGATCAGTTCTCTGTGACCAAGAGCCGTCAGATAAAAATCTCATAAGGTAGGACATGGAAGGTTAACCTATTTGATCTGATTGGATAAACAGATAACATGGGCGGTGATCTCTCCGATAACCCTGATAATGATAATAATGATAATGACAAGCGTATCTCAGCTTAATTAATTTTCCTGCAGGTTGCTGCTAAAAAGGACTAAAAAAATTGTCATATACCCCTTTTATTTATCAACAAATGCAGAAATCCTTTCTCATTCAGAAGCATTTGGAAATACACTAAACCACCATTATATATTCTTCACACTTTCTAGGGCCTCTTCCCCATACGTTTGTGACCCGAATTGTGTGATATAATTTATAGGGGTCCAAGGAGAGCAAGTAATGAAATGTGTTGCAGTCTTATGATACAAATGCTGCCTTTTACATGTGTACAATGTCACAGTGTACATAGGAAAAGATGGCGCTTCTTGATAAACCTTCAATATATATGTCATCATTTTGATTTCATCTCATAGTAGCAGTCACTTATGGATTTTTTTTTCTTTGTGGGTTATTGCTTTAACTTGTAAAGGGAATACTTAGTAATATTTCTATCAATAACTTTTATTATCCCCAATTCTTACATATTCAGTTACCATATGAACTTGCTAAACAGAGAAAGCTCCTGTAGATTAAGTAGAGTCAGGATCCTGCTTTAAATAAACAAAGATCATATTCTGTACCTTTATGATACTCTGGCATGTAGAGAGTGGCAGGCCAACTAAACTAGTCCCATTGATAGACATGATCTGGTCTCCAATATTCAGCTTTCCAGATTTCTCTGCTGGTCCCCCATGCATCATATTGGCTATGATAACTGTAGGCAAGATGGATCCCCACCCAGATTCTACAATCACTACGCCCAGAATTTCACCCTTCTGCTTCTCAATGAAAACCTGAAGGGAGAGAACAAAAGTTAGAAACAATTCTCCGTTATGAAATGTAGTAATCCTGCAAAGTAGCCCCAATTGTCAACACTTTTGCCTTACCCATGCAACTACAATATACGGTAAACATTTAAAAATTTTACTTTAGTAAAAAATACATAAAGCAATTAGGTGTGTAACAATGGAGTGGAAATAGGAACACTTTTAAATAACTTTTCTTACAAATGTTATACGTCAACAGGAGAGAAATTGCGGATGCCTTAAACTAGCTTTTTTCCCTATTGACACATCACAGTGATGGTCCAACATGCCAAATATTAGAAAGTTGTTTCTTCAAAAGAGTGCAAAGCATATTTGTCCAAGGAGTGAATATTTTTAAAGATGAAAAAAGGAGAAAAGGGAAGGGAGAAAATAACTGGTTTTGCCATCTCTAAAGAAATTAGAATTATGTATGGTATGTGAAGGAATTCACTCAATTAATTGTCTGAAATGGTATAGGGGCTGGACTATAAGACCTCCAAGGTCCCTTCCAGTTCTATTCTATTCTATTCTATTCTATTCTATTCTATTCTATTCTATTCTATTCTAAGCTCTATAAGTAGCTGCAAAAATTAGGTGAGAGGAAGATTCTTAGTTCAACTGCATTACAAATAAAGAGGTGCATACATCTTTGCAGTTTTCAGACTTTGAGAAGTGGATCAGATCATCATTGTACATATCTTGGGTATTGAGGAGGTCACTGTATTCCTTCTGACTCAGGTCTTCAGGATTTATTCCATTTGCCCTCAGGAATTCCTGGTATGCCACACTGAATGCCTGGCCAATGGACTGTGCAATTAATTGTGCCTATAATAGTTATGAAAGAAAAAAAACATAGTAAAATAGCTAAGGAGCAGAGAAGATTTAAAAATGGGATTTCAAACCCACCATAAGCTGGGTGGTGAAATGTATGGCAACTGCAGTATATCAAACAATGCATGATGAGAGTGAGACTCAGGGCTCACAAATCGCCTGAGGGAAGTAGACAGAACCCTAAAATGTTATCTGGGTCCTCAATTTGAAAAGCTGCTTCAAACTATTGATCTCAACAATTCCATGGTTGTAGCACTGTATGGAATAGCAAGCATGAGGGAGTGATTTTATTGTTCAGAATGTGTACTAGGCTCAAGCAATAAACAGTTTTTGCACCCTCTTGAAATTTCCCCTCTAATATAATGAAGCTTTACAGAAACTGGTTCACCCCTAAAACAGACAGACAAAACTGTATTTACAGAGTGGTTTCCCCCTTCTATGTAGGTTCTTGGTTTGGTCTATTCATGGCCAGGCCTTATTGATTTTGCAGCCATCATTCATGGCATAGTGGATTAAAGAAAATGCACGATAGTGTAGTTTTGCATCATTTTCTCCTGATATTGCTTAAAATCATTATTCCTCTCTCAGCAAGTCTCGGGGTAGCACCCAGAATTAAGGAAGCAGATTCTCATTTTTCTTGTCCTTTCTGTACCTTTTTCCCTTCACCAAATACTATCTGTCCTAGGATTAATATTAGTTGGTTTTAAAGTCCATTTGTCATAATGATTGTCAGGGCCAGCTCAGATGCAGAAGTTGGAGGGGATCATCAGCTGAAAGTGCCACTTAAAAACTAAGAGAGGCAGCTATTACTGGCTGCTATTGCTGGCCACAAAAGTCAAAGAGGGGGAGCTAACACTTCCCTTCCAATACAAGTGTCCACAAAGGCACTGGGCAAGACTTTTGGGCAGAAAGCCTGCCCCATCAAAGAAACTAACTCGGGTCTCACCACCCACATATAAGGGGACAACTCCCTCTTTTACCTCACCATTGTGTTCCTCAACTCCTTAGCAGCCTTCTTGTTTGTTCAACCCTCTTGCCATTACAGTTCTATTTGAAAACTGTTTTAAAAAAGACGTCTTACCCATGTCTCTCTGATTTCCATGGTCCAGGACATGGTTCGGGACAAACCATGGCTAGCAGACTACACTAGACAACTGACAACCTTTCTCTTACCGATAGGTTCCTTTCTATCAGGATCGGCACATGCATGCTTTCATGGCCTGCCCTACTACTACTGATTGCAACAAACAGCCTGATGGCTGCATTTCAGAAAGAGGAGGATTCTATATTAATTTCTAACAGAGAAATGACAAAGTTCCTTACATCTTCAGATTCAAAAACATGACAGATCATTTTGTACTGCCTCTTCCCATCCTGAGAAGGATGAGATGCCTCCACATTATCTTGAGAATTTGATCTTGGCATTCGCCTTCGAGCCATCAATACAACAATATTTCCGATATCTGCAATGTAGGAAATGGTCCTCAAAGGATGATCCATCATCGTTTCCTTAAAAAAAAAAAAAAAGACCCTTGTATTAGTGTTCTTTATCACTAACACAACCATTTAAGAACACTGGCATTCCATTGTTTTCCAAATTAAAGGAAATCTTCATCACCTATACAAATCAAGGAAGAATAAGAGTTCCCACCTGCCAGATCACAAGAGTCTTTTGTAAAGTATTTATCGGGGCCATAACATGTATAGGTAATCCTTGACTTACAACCAGTTGTCTGATGACCATTTGCAAGTCATGGCAGCCTCACACTTCCAGCCGTCATAAAAGTTGTGCTGCCCACATCACATGACCGCATTTTAGGCATTTGGCAACCTGTTGATATTGATGACCAGTTGCCAAGTGCCTGGGAATCACAAGATTACTATTTGCAATTTTCTCTGCTGCCTTCCCCAGAAAGTCACTGGGGAAGCTGGCAGGGAAGACTGCAAATGGAAAGGGACATTGGATTTGGTGTCTGTTCCCACTGCTATCTAAAGTATTTCCCCTTCGCTCTCTGCCGGGAGAAGAAATCCTTCTTTGTGCCAAAGGAACAGACCTTAAATTTGACCAAAGCTCTAGAAAATGCTTATTGTTCTGGAAGGCATTTTCCCCTCCAGCTAGTGAATGCCAATGTTCTGAGCTTTTCAGAATGATGGCGTTTGCTAGTGTTTTCACCATGTTAAAAGTCCATTCCTCTAGCGTCCCAAGGGATCTCTTGTCCAGAGTGGGGGAAAATTCCTCCTCTTCCCATCTGATGAAACTGCTAGCAGATTCCATCATTATCTCGACTTGTTCTTCCTGGTGGGGCAGGGGAGAGGTCAAGGCCCTCTCCGCAATTTGGAAAGCAGTTAATTATTTCATCCTCTTTCAAAAATTCCAAACTATGTTTTTTTTTCATAGTAAGGCAAGAAGCAAATGGAAATAAACAAGAAATGGCTCCACGATGTATTTCCAATCCTTGTAAAATAGTTTAGAGTTTGCTGTACCTGAGTGTCTGCATTTAGCACTTTTATTCTCTGTGTTGAAATGAAAAGATCAACTTCGGTCATGGGCTGAGATTCACCTTCAGGAACCTGCAGTCAAAGACATTTTTAGTTAGGAAACGTGTACTTTTTAAAAGATTGGATGAGATATAAATCAAATAAATCTTACAAAATGTACGATTCAACTGTGAAGTTAATGATAAACAGAAATAGTATGAAATATGAGTGATGGAAAAAATTGTTAATTTCCTCCCAACTATTTGCCCATGTAATATTTTTTCCTGACATGAAAACACATTCTCTTTCTGGCATAGGGCTTTCCCTGGATTCTTTTAAATCTGTTTACCAGCCAATCTTTCATTAATTATGGCTAATGAGCTCAAGGCACAGTTAGGTAGAGAGATGAAGATGTGGCGTTATGCTGTTTTGGCTACCCAAAAAGAAGAGGGAAGAAAAATGAGCCATTGTCCTACATTTGCTCAGTATTCATTCCCCTCTTTCGCCAAAGTAAAAGCACGGTCATAAAAACAGGTTTTCATGTGTATTCATATTCATGACATTTTGTTTTATGTTGAAGCATGACCAGCTTATGAACGATTAGTCATAAGAACTGCAAAAATAGTAAACTAATCCCACTTCCAACTCCCACTACAATAAAACTGGTTGTTGGGAGTGATGAAAAATTAATATAGTTCTAATGTAGAACTTGCTACAGCCATACAAATAGAAGTATTGTTAATGTAACATGGGCTATTCGTAACATATGTACAACGCATGCTACATATCACATTCTTCCGGCCCCTCCAATTATTGTGGTAAAAAAATTCACCAGCCAACCACCAAATAATATTGGTATTATTTTTTATAACTGAAGGAGCGAGAAATAAGTTCATTAAAACCTCGACTCGTACAACATATTTATTTGTTGAAAAAAATGTAAATGCTGAAAATGTTGGCCCTATACAATGCTCTAGAACAGAGGTCCTCAATCCCTGGTCCATGAGCCAGTACCAGTCCATGGCATGCCAGCAACTGATCTGCATGAACAAGCAAAGCCCCATCTGCAAGATGCAGGCAGCACACAAAACCACGCACCCTCCAGTCTGCGGAAAAACCTCTCTCCATGTAACTGGTCCCTGATGCCCAAAAGGTTGGGGACCTCTGCTCTAGAAGGGGCGTTGTCTTACCTGAACGCCTTTTCTCAGCACGGAGATGGAGACTCCACCATTGGGTAGTAGACTGTATTCCTGCCCAATCAGATCAAGTCAGCCAAAGTTGCCACGCCCGTCCTGGACCGTGATCTCCAGTCTTTGACGCGAGCGTAGCCATTGACTGACAGCAAGACGTTGTGGCTCACCAAACTAAC